GAAGTCTCACTATTTAACTGGTTTTGATGTGATGTGGATTAGTCTTTCATCAGTAAACAAACCAAAAATTTCATAGTATTTAAAGTTAGGGCAGCTCTTGGAATGGACATTCACATAAATAGTTACAAAAATCCATTCTTTAAATATTTTTATGTAATAATCGTTAAAAGAAGATGAAATTCTATCTTAAATTTAAATGGTAAATTAGTAATTTTGTTAACACAGTAACATAATTTGTTTCATTGTGATGTGCATTCATCTTTCCTCAAAAGGAAGACCAAATGTTGCAAAGTCCTGAAGATTAAGCATCTCTTGCGATGGCCATTCAATTTTTTAACTCAATGATAGGGTAGGTAGGGGGGGGGGGAAGTTCTCGCATGGGCTGGAAAGGAAAGGAAACATTCAGTAAGAGGTTTGAAGAGCATCCTCCTTACTTCCACACCACAAAAAGAGCGATTGGAAACAGAATTTGCAGAAAAATAAAAACAATCGGTGTTGAAACGAAAACCTGTGAATAAGGGGGTAAAAATATAAGCAGCAATTGCTCCCAAGTGCTTAACCTAAAGCCAAAAAAAAATAAATAAAATAAAGACAATACATTGATAGGTTCTACCTCCCTCCTCAGAATCTAACATTTTCCCTGTTCATAGCAACAGCTCAGATTTTCTGAAGAGGAACATAATAATGAACAAGACATTAGCCACACTTAGCCACTGGAGGGCTCAAGATGGATAGTTTTGCCGTAATAAAGGTTCAGTGTAAAACAAATCACTCATTTCAGCTGTATATTGTCAAAATCTTGGCCTTTTACGATGTGGGTTACCGCAAGTGTGTTCCAAACAGTGAACAGTGTAAGATTTCGTGAAACTGCTGATGAGGCCTCAGTTGAGAAGGAAGATATTTACATGAAACTATCACAGTTCAGCTAGATTTCAAAATACTACAAATAAAGTTTTCATGAAGACTGGATAGATTTAAACATTCAGTGAAGTGTAAACAGTCTGTATATGTGTGGTTCAGGAAGTGTACATAAGCTGTTTAATTTTCGCCACCATAATGTTGCAAAACCACTTTAAAAAAAAAAAATTCATTTAGTTTTCATTTAGCTATTTAGATTTAGACCTACCTACTTTTCTGTAGTAGTAACCACCTTAATTATTTTTACCTTACTACCAATTTCATAATTCTCATTTTTCACAAGAATTCAAAAATAACATACCTGTGATTAAAAATTCTTAAATTTTATGTTGTAATTGGGCTTTTATTTTTAGTTTGAATTAAAAATATTTTATCTTCTCATTTGTGCAATTATTATGACACTAATAAAATATTAAAATGGTTGTCCACAAAAATTGGAGAGTAGGTTCTACTTAATAATGATATTTCTGAGTATAGTGTAAAAACCCAAGTGCGGGATTTTACCCTATCAGTAAGCCTGCAAAGCAAAGTTTTCTAAAAAAGTTTATTGTCAACCTAACAATGATCCAACAGCACTGGTGCAATCAGTAATTGTGAAGAAGATGCTAATCTACCGTTTTCATACTTATCAGCACTCTCAATACTTAATAAAACCTGAAACTGGAGGAACTTACATTTCATAAAAAAAAAATAAATCATTTAAACTTATCACAAATCCATACTTTACAAAGGGTATGTTAGCAACTTTGTCGGCTTTGTTAACTCAATTTAGAAACCAAAATTAAGTATTCATTGCATCAGTCAACAGTTAGTTACAAAAACTAATTGTTTAAATAGTGTGTGGTGATTAGTGACCGTTAATCGATAATTATTCAGAAATCGTGAGATGCGGTCTGGCCAGACCGCATCTCATGATTTCTGAATAATTATTGTTTAAATAATTTAATATTTAATTAATAAAAAGATTTTCAATATATACCTGTTGCAGTTCCATATTTTGGCTTAGTGACTTTGTGCCATAAATTGTTTTTATATTGGGTTGTCCAGAAAATAATGCAGATTTTCATGTTTTCTTTCAATTAACCCTATGTATTCATTTGATTGATTATTCTTTTGTATGAATGTCAACAATTTTTAATACTTTTCCAAACAAAAATGTTTGTTTGCCTCAGTAGCATTTCATTACTTGGGAAAATTCAGTCTTCACTAAAATGTCATATCACTTTTTAAGTTTAAACTTGGTTGGAACTATGCACAAACAGCCAGAATTAATGAAGTCCGGGGCAATGGCAGTGTGAGTGAGAGCACCTTTCAGAGATGGTTTAAAAAATTTCAATAGGTAGACTTTAGTCTTGAAGACAAAGGTCGTGGAATAATTTCTTCCTGGGATGATAATGTTCTGCGAGCTTTAGTAGAAGAAAATTCCAGAACAACTGTTCGAGAACTTGCAGATAATATTTCAGTTAGCAAATCGAATGTCGATGATGACCTTAAGGCAATCGTAAAGGCAAAAAGCTCCAAAGTTGGATTCTTCATGCATTTAACAACCACCAAAAATATTAAAAAGTTTGCACAACACTTCTTTCATGAAACAGAAACGAACCTTTTTCAAGAATCGTTACTTGTGATGAAAAGTAGATTATCTACGTCAACAGCAGACGTTCTGGACAGTGGCTCGACAAAGGAGAAGCAGCACCACATTTTCCAAAGCTCCCAACTCATCAAAAAAGGTGATGATGACTCTTTGGTGGGCTTCATTTACTGCAGCTTCTTGAATCCTGGCGAAACAATACAGAAATGCATGCTCTCACATTGAAGCAATGCACCAGAAATTGGCATTATTGAAGCCATCGTTGGTCAATCGGAAAAGGCCGTTTTGGGTAACAAGAAAGCAGACACACTGGCCAGAGGATCTGCAACACCTTGCACCTATTCTTGGGATAACAAAAACAAACATAGAATCCTCCATCACAGAATGGATCCATAAAAGATAAAAGAAGAAGTGGACAAACTCTACAAGGAAAATAAATACTGGTCAAAAAAAGCAGCACTCCTACTGGTAGATAGTTTCCTGAATATGAATAAAATCGATAAATCGATATGTGTACAAATATACTCCCCATGTACCAAATCAAATATGAAGCTTTGATGGTTAAAGCTGATACTTATTCCTTTCCGGACTTTCAAGATACAGATACAAAAACAGCGAATAGCATCTTTCAATAGGAACTCAATGTTAAGTGGCCAGGCTTTCACTGTTTTCATAGACGGCTGCAAGTCAGGAACAAGTGTGGGGTGCGCATTCTACGATCCAGTTAATAGATATGAGTGCTTAATCAAGCTGCCCCAAGAAAGTAGCATTTTTTCAGCTGAACTCTATGCCATCTCGAATGCGCTCAGCTACTTGAGCTCCAAAACATATGACAAATCAATGATTATAACGGATAGTCTAAGCTCAATGCTCAAGATAAAATATCGGAAGACGGTAGCAGCAGACAATCATCTGCTCTTCGAAATATTGGAGAAAATCAACTACATGGGTAAGGTAGTGGTTATAGCTTGGGTCAGACGGCTTAAAATAATAGTAATAATAAGTGACATGGCTATGGCTATTTAGGCTATTGCCAAAAGAAAAGAAAAAAAAACCTCTAGAAGGAACAAGACACAATAGGATTATGCTAATAACCCTCACCAAGACTGGCAGACTCACTGATAAAATTAAGGGGGGGGGCTAAATCTAGACGAGTGATAGGACTATTAAGGCGTCACTGGCATCTAAAAAAATATGTACACAACATGGGGTATATTCAATGGTAACCCCATTTGTAGACTATGCAATGAGGAGGAAGGATATTAACTTCAAATGTGGATGGCCAGAGGAAGATCTGTAAGACCATGCATAGGCCCTGAACCTATCCTAGAATCTTCCATCGCAGGATGGATCCAAACAAAACAAAAGGAGAAGTGGTTGATAAACTCTAGCGGCGCTAGACACAGTAAACTCATGATGAAACAACCCTCACCAAGACTGGTAAACACACTGCTGCAATTGGTGAGGGGAGGGTGACTGTTAACCGGTCACACAAAACAACAACGATTCCATCTGCAGATTATGCAATGAGGAGGAGGAAAGAGCCGCCCGTATCATCTTCGAATGCGAAGCAACGGCTCAATGGAGATTTAATGTAACATACGGAAAATATCTAGGGAATGAAATCGTAGCAGCAACAGTCAATGACCTGGTACTTCTAAGAGGAAGGATTGAGTAGATTGCACAGGGTACTAGGAAGGTACAAGCCAAAAGGCTGCAGTGCCTGGAGAGGAGCATAAACCCCGCTTCCTTGTATCCTCATTACCATACCATAGTCACTTGGCAAACTTTTCAAAATATGAAACTGCAACAGGTGTATATTGAAAACCTTATTATTAACTATGACATTAACTGTTTAAACATTTTAATAATTATACGTTGTCCGACACTACTAAGACTCCAAGATTACTTAATTTTAAAGGCTTTTCTAAAGTTTGTAGTGTTTATTAAAGAAAGACAAATTCGTATCAGTGCAAGAGATAAAATGAACGATAGCATTGAGGTTTGAAACGTGACAAGAGGTTAAGTTTATTAAGTTGTAAATAGCAAATAAAACGTTTTTCTGGATCTTAAATTGTAAATAACAGTCTAATATGTTTTTGTTTTAATTCTAGACGTAATGACAACGAAGTTATCGAACTTTTTGGATTGTAAAAAAAATGTTAAGAGAGGGGGGATTGTAAATGTGTTCCTGTAAATGTTTTGAAATGTTCTTTGTAAAATTTACAGGAAACGCTTTCGTGGTAGGGACGGGGAATTGAATAAATAAATTAAAAAATATGTTGTCATTCTCATTAATGCGATTTCAAAGTCGACGGTAGGGCCGATTGTAAAGAGGACGGCCGACAAAACGGGCTGGCCAGGAATGTGCCACGGCCCGGATGAAACAAAGTACAAATTGAAAGTAAAAAAAAAAAAGGTGATAACTTGGATATAAATTTACCAAATAAAGGCGATTATGAGCAAAAAGGTTAATTTTAACGGGGGTTACCTGATTCGTCCATTTCGTTAATACTTTACTGCGATCAGAGCGAAAAAGTGAAGGGCATTATAACAAAACAAAAAAAAATAATAAAGAGAGACGTTCTCGTCAAGAATCCGCCTTCTGTCTTTTTCTCTCCACTTTTACGTTGTTTTTCCTTCTCGTTGAACGTTTGTCGAACGCGACGTGCAAAAGAGGCGCGATCCGAGTTTTAAGGTTGTCACCGTGTCGACGGGGTTTCTGGAACGTCTGCACCTCGTTGAGTTCCGCTCGCGACTTCCCTCTCCGTTCCGACGTAATTTTAACGTTGACGCGAATTGGCGGTGGCCATTTTGCGATCCCCTGTGGGGGGGAAGGGGACAACACTGCGCCCCTTTTTCTTTCTCGCTCGCTCTCTCTTTCCTGCATTTCAAGAAAACGGGACGGGCCGCAAGTTTTCCCTCAGGAGAGACCATTCCCCGTTTCCTGCCTCCTCAAGATCCTCCGTAGATTCCCCGCCCCCGCTATAAATACATTTACAGATTTTCACCATATTCCTGGGTTTTGGCCAAAAATAGCAATGGAATCCCACCTTCAAAGTTATATTTAAATTCCGGGATCCCTAGGGTTTCCAAGGTCGTCTCGTTCATTCAACCCAACGAGCTTCACTGTTTTTTGGTCTTCCTTTTTTAGATGAGCAAACTTCATTACAAAAAACTACTAATATTATGCTTCTGTAAAAAAATCCATTTGAAACTTCATAAATTAACGGAAACTGAAGCAAATTTGGATTTTGATCAAATTTACGGAGAGGGTCACCTACCCATTAACATTGAACATGACACGGGAAAGTATCGACTATTGATGTACCTCAACATCCTATAAAGCCTTAACAGATTACAAAGCAAATCATCAGGAACAATGATATGGTATACAGATAACTCCAAGACAAATAAACGAACCGGATCAGGCTTTTATTGTACAAGTTCAGACAGACATTACCGTGTAAAATGGTCACATCACAATTATTCAGGAAATGCATCTAAAGTCTCCAAAACCTTGAGAAATATACCTGATGATAAAGTGGCCCAAGAAGGAACTGCAAGACTGTACATAGGCCCTCAATCTAGTACATTCTTCTCAACAGACTAGAAAGGAAGAGAAGAATTCAGAAGGACCTGAGGTACAATTGTATGGTATACAGATAACTCCAAAACAAATAAACTAAAAGGAACAGGCTTTTTTTTTTTTTTGTACTAGCCCACAATATGAACAATCAAACTCATTAAGGAAATACACCTCTGTCTTTCAAGCTGAATCTTAAAAGAGGTTATATTGACAAAACAATATCCTCCTAAGGTCAAACAGTCATTAACATGTAAAATGGTCACATCACAATTATTCAGGAAATGCATCTAAAATCTCCAAAACCTTCGGAAATGTACCTGATGATAAAATGGCCCTAGAAGGATCTGAAAAACTGTGAATAGGCTCTGAACCTATTGACAAAACCGGATACAAAATCCTTCATCTTAGAATGGACCCAAAAGGAGAAGTTATTAAACTCTAGAGTTGCTAATGGGAACACAAAACCCACTTTCTAGCATCCATCATCATTGATATACCTAGTGATATAGGTTTTTTGGCAACTCAATTATTTTTTTGTGAGGTCACTAAACATAGCAAAGAAACTTGGTTCATCCAGAATTAGACTGACTTTCTGGTTATGTAGTCTGTTACCTATCATTTCGGTCCACCTGTCCTTGCTGTTAGGTCTGTCAGACTCATTTTGATATTTCACCCTCTGCTGTGTCTCTGTGTTATTTAGTCAGCCTTGTCCCTTTATTGATACTGAGGAGCATACAAGACAAAATTCTTGCTTAGACAAATATAAGTGTTGCTATGATATCAGAGAAATGGACAAATCAGCCAAAGCAGGATCTGCAAGTTCATGTATATGCCCTGAACATATTCTTAGGATGACAAGAATAAATACAAAATCCCCCATATCAGAATGGGTTCATAAAAAACAAAAGGAGTGGCCCAACACTAGAGATGTCAAATAACATTATGATTAAAGGGCCACCAACAAAACTGGCAAACATAATTATATAATTGTAGGCAGGGTAAAACTCAGGAGAGTGATAGTCACTGGTATCGCAGAAAACACCTACAAAACATGGGTGTATTCTGCAATGAGGAGGAAAAAATAGCCACCTGTATAATCTTTGAATGTGAAGCATCTGCTCAATAAAGACTTAATCTGGAGTACCAAGGTGACTAGAGGAAAAGAATTGCAGTAATGACAGTCAACGGCCTGCTACAACTTAAAAGAAGGATTGAGCTTAACTGAACTAAAGAACTAGGAAAAGTCATTGGGGAATATGAAGCCCACATTCCTAGTCTTCTATCATCACCATCGTATTAGAGGCATAATTTAAAATAACTTCTTGCTCTCCTTTGAGGTATTGAAGGTGGCAAGAGCAACAAAAGATATCCTTGCATATACTGTTTTAGTATTACTTGATTTTTAAAATGCATTTTAATTAATAAACCATAGTCTCTCTTAATAACCAAGCTTCGCCAAAAATTTACTTTCAACTCTGCCACTTGTGCAATTTTTGAACATATTTCTTATATGAGCAGTCACTCACAAGTTGTAAATTTGTTTTATTAATTTTGGAGTTCCACAAGGGTCCATCTTGGTTCCTCTTTTATTTTCCATGTACATCAATGATATTTATTCTCCTTTTACTACCCTTTTTCACCTATGATGACTATTAGTTATATCGGCTTCGGAGTTCACCTTGCTCCACAATTGTTTAATATCTTCAATAATGATTCCTTTCTAACATATTACTAAGTCTGTTGATGATTGTAATCTTCTTCAAGAAAACTTGCAGGGCTTAAAATTAACTCTTGAAAAATGCTCCTCAATATCCTTCTTTCATGTTATATACCCAATAGATAATTTAATTTATAGCCACAGCTTTTCTAAAGTATCTTCATAGACCCAAAAGGAATCTTAAACAATTTTTTTAGGGGTTAAAATTTATTGTAAATATTAAGATGGGAAGAAAGAATATTTCGGCTGATTGATGGGAAAGCGTATTGTGTAAGATTGGGCCGTTGGAAGTGTCCTCTAATCCTGGGAGCCGACTTAGTCTTTCACGAAGACCCCCAGACACAGCTAAACAAAGCTGGCGAAATAATAACACCACACAGGAATTTATGATTGGGAAATGTGGGTCGTTTCTGGGCAATTGCCACAGAAATATTTACTGTTGCTGACAAGTGCCTTATTGCTCAACCCCTAGGATTAGCTAATACCCAGATTCACCCGGAAAGCTGGGGAAGAAAAAGGAGCATCAGGTCATCAGGAATCATAACAGTGTTTCCTAAGCTTGACGGGTCTCCCACCTCCACCCTGACTTATTACCTTAACTACTATCATAAAAGAGTTAGGAGACAGTCAAGAAGAAGCCGGCATAGAGAAGATGCAGTCGGAGAAGAGCTGTCATGGTCGAGGCAGCTGTCACGGGAACTAGTACAGCCAGGAGTTAGCCAAGAGTCAGTAGGACCAATGCCAACATCTCAATTCTACAGATTTGTCAATCAACGCAGGCAGAGGATTATTTTTATTATTTAATTAAATTAAATTAAAGGAATAAAATAAATTAGTTTTCTATGACATAGCACGTCTTTGACGTCAGAAATCAGACTAGGTGAGACATCGAGGAGTCTCGAAGAATCATCGGTTCACTTCAGACTTTCAGGGATGAAGATTTGGCTCAATGGAAGTGAGTCAAAGAGCGGTTCGATCACGAGCCCAGGCGAGCGAAGAACGATTCTTCATTCGAAGTCCGTCAGAATCGAATCTCGATCATCGCCAACCGGGTTCCAGGGCTCGAAAATGTACCGTTGTTGACCTACAAAGTAGAAGTTGACGTCCTTTCTAACTTCGCCAGTTCCCTAGCGTAAAGCTCACGATCCAATGTCGAAAAAGCCTACAAAGGGCAAAGCTATGCCAGTGAAAGCCCCGCCGGCAGTGAACTTTTGATCAATTTGACAAACGGTTTACATTCAAGTTAAATTATGCCTTCGACTAAAGTGACAACAACCGGCAGCGGGTGAGATGACAACCTTTCATTAAATAATACATAAAATGTGTCTTGCTAAAAAAGATTGATAAAAAAATATACAAATTTATTACTAAATTGTCATGCCAAATAAACTGCTCAAAAATGAATCGGGATATTGTCAATGTTGAAGTATTTATTTTCCCTAGCATTATTTTATTTTTATTATAAATTGCAATAAAATTTATTACAAATTATTATGTTCTTACTAAAGGAAAATTTAATTAAGGGATTTTGAAAAAATAACAAAATAAAAGGTTTTAATTTCATAATTTTGTTTATTGGACATAATAAATTTATTAAACACTTAATACCGCGTGTAATGTTCTCTGTTATCTAAAACCTCTGTGCACCTGTTAGGCATACTGTTAATAAGGTTGTCACTAATTTCATAAGGAATTTTACTCCAAAGATGTTGCAATGCTGCACTCAGTTAGTGCAAGTCACGCTGCGGTGACCGAAAAGCCTTCACTGCAACGCATCCCACATGTGCTCAATGGGATTGAGGTCTGGCGACAATGGGGGAGGGGCAGGCGAGAAATTCTCAAGTTTTCTCAGCATTGATGAACAACTCTGCCTCCATTGTCATCCAGAATCGAAAAGCCATGCCATTGTTGGCTCCCTGGTTTGAGGGATGTATTCCTCGATAATTTCTTGGACATAACGGACTGTGGTGAGGTTGCCTTTAACAGTACAGAGACCAGTTCATCCTCCAGTGTAAATCCCAGCCCAGACCTTTTCACCGCCTCCTCCAAACTGCACTGAAGGGAGCACAAACTGGTTTTTGAAACATTGATGAACAACTCTGCCTCTATGAGGTCTGGCATTGGCATCCAGAAATTGAAAATCCCAGCCAATGAGACCCTTATTTTGAGGGATGTATGCCTCTATAATTTCTTGGACATAACGGGTTGTGGCGAGGTTCAACAATACCATTTCGTCCTCCAGTGTAAATCCCAGCCCAAACCATTACACTGCCTCCTCCAAACTGCTCTAAAAGGAGCACGAACTGGTTTTTGAAACATTGATGAACAACTCTGCCTCTATGAGGTCTGGCATTGACATCCAGAAATCGAAAATCCGTGCCAATGAGATCCCTATTTTGAGGGATGTATTCCTCGATAATTTCTTGGACATAACGGGTTGTGGCGAGGTTCAACAATACCATTTCGTCTTCCAGCGTAAATCCCAGCCCAGACCTTTTCACCGCCTCCTCCAAACTTCACTGAAGGGAGCACGAACTGGTTTTCAAAACACTGATGAACAAAGCAGGGTTTCCGGTCTGCATCCCCAGATTTTCCTGCTATTCTTCTGCACACTTTCAATGCTCGTGTCGCCTTCATGATGGTGGAGCCGATATGTTCCTTAAATGCCTGGGCTTTTAGTGCCCAGATATTTGACCTTTTTTAATTTCTTTCACAGTATTATTGAGTGTTATTTGCCTCAAGTGGTCCAATATCCTTTTCTGTGTAAAAGTGACTATGGTTGTTTTATTATGGATTCCTAAGCCAGCAGTTTTACACTATTATTTTCTGATTTTTAGCCCTTCTTGGATTATGTCACAGAGTTTCCTCGAATTTTTCCCTGGTGGACAGGGCTATATCATCCGCATAGAGCCCCGACACTTTATCTCTTTACAGTCCAGAGCTTCTTGCAGTTCAAATTTCTAATTTTAATAAGGTTGAAACTGAAGGCAATTAAACATGCAACATTATCCTGGAATAATGCAGTGGTAATAAGGGATTTGAACGACCAAAATGATTTCTATTTGCCGAGAAAGTCATTTGTGTGAAAGGCTCATTAAATAAAGGAAAATACTCATCTTTCCTTTTACTTATGCATTGTAAGCAAACTGCTAAATATGAAAGCTTTTTCTCACATCCATTGTTTAAAAGAAATAGCACACAATTTGGCATTCTTCTTTCACAATGCATGTTTTAATTATAGTGGATACTTCTATTTATAATTTATTTATTGACCAGATGTACATATAGAAACAATTAAAAAAAGGTTATTACAATTTCTTTTTGAAAATAATATTTTAAATATGAGGCAATTTGGCTTCCAAAATCAACAAGTACAGATGATGTGCTTGTAAATTTTTTGACCATGATCTATCGGGTTGTCCGGAAAATAATGCAGGATTTTAAGTTTTCATTAAAAAAAATCTATATAAAATATTCTGTTTACGTTTACAGGATTACTCATTTGTATGAATGTCAACANTTAAAGAACATTGCTTTAAAGTAACTAGTTTCTTTTTTTTTGTTTAATACCAAAATCCTGCATTATTTTCCGGACAACCCAATAGTTATGTTTTAAGTTCAGGTTAAAGATTTGAAAGGTTTCTGGAATCTAGTGAACAATTTTAAGAATAAAATTTCCACAGTGAGAGGTGATATATTTTTATATCATATATTATATTTATTATATTTCATAATCATCATCGTTTATTTGCAATGCATTTTTGGACAAGCCCTTTACCTATGTTGGGCTAATAGAGCATTAAAGACATCAGGAAGAGATCAGATCCCTTATGAATTTTATAAATATGCAACAGAACATTTTTGCAAAAATTTTCTGAACTTTCAGAACAGCATCTTTGAAAAGGGTTGTGCAACAAATGCTTTTAAAATTAAAAAATTCATTATTTACCCTCTCCATAAAAGTGGAGGTATAAATACAGTGTCCAATTATAGAGGAATAGCTTTTGAGAATACAGTTGGAAAAACTTTCTCAGGCCTACTTCTACAATATTCAGGATAATGATAGCGGAGTGGACCAGGACGTGTATCACTTCTTCACTTATGCCCTATATTTCTAGAATACCATTATTGTATTTTAATAAGGTAATGACATGTTAACAAAAGTTTCAGGCTTGATTTAGGCAAGGCTAATCAACTATTGATAATCATTTTACTTTGCAATTATTGAACTTGTATGACATATATATATTTTTTCGTTAAATCTCTGTCTGGCTTTCTCTTGAGCAACTTTGTTTTAACCAAGATGATCAGAAATGACCAAACTACACGTTCGACATCCATCAAACTTCAAATAAATCTTACAACACCTTTATAGATTTAACAATTTGTACTGTGTGTTATGCATATGTTTGACTCGTCTTGTGAAATGATTCAAGCTAATCTTATTTTCTCAATAATTTTCCAGGGTAAACAAACATTGGTGGCTGGCGTTTGGAGTTGTTGTTACACTTTCTTTTGCGACAAGATTTTGTAAAGTCACTGAACCAGATCATGTCTGGTAAGTGAGATTATTATTTAAAACACATAATTTTCTTAAATGCAAAACATTGCTTGAATAAATAAAAACCTATTGTTTTAGTTGGGATGAGACACATTTTGGAAAAATGGGAAGCTGGTATATCAATAGGACTTTTTTCTTTGATGTTCACCCACCTCTTGGAAAGGTCCATACTTGTTGAAATAATAATAATACTATAGTTTTTGTTTTTTTCATTTTTTACTGTTTTATAGATGTTAATTGCGGCATCTGGCTACCTTACTGGCTATGATGGCAGTTTTCCATTTGACAAGCCTGGTGACAAATATGAAAATGTAAAATATGAAGGAATGCGAATGGTTAGTGAATATAATTTATGAAAAATATTGTGTAATATACAAAGTAAAGTAATTCCTGTCATACATGAGGGCTTAACGTCTACTCATCATGTAGTACAGTCATACCTAGCTTAACATATTATTACATTCCTCGGTGATTCCCATAAAATGGAAATCGCACTAAGCAGGGTTTCCTTTTTTACTTTTTTCTTCAACAATCATAATGAAATGTTGCATAACTTCGTTCTATGAAAAATTAATATTTTCAATGGCTTTTCATGGCAATCAATGGCTTGGTTAAATGATTTCCACCATTCTTTCATTGACTGCTTGTATGAATTTATTTCAAGAATCAATTGGCTGAATGTGCCTTAGTTGCTAAATACAAAATGTATTTACACTTACTATGATATATATGTATACATAATGAGTTGTATGTATATTTATACAATTGTTAATATAATTAATATTTTCTTTTTAAAAAAAGTGTTGAAGCAAATTCATGTTATGTGGGGGTCGTGCTAAATGGGGTGTGATTGTACTTTAAATAGTATGAACAATTAAAAAGCTATGTGCTATGCTAGGATTCAATCCTAGAACAGCTAGCTTTATAAATAAAAGTCAGACGCCTTAATTTAGCCTCTGCATTCCCCTTACTGTAATATATTGTGATTTTTTTTTCAGTTTTGTACATTCCTTGGAGCTTGTATTGCACCACTTTCTTTCTTGATTATTTGGGAACTCTCGTTGTCCCTCAATTCAGCTATTTTGGGTTCCAGTTTAATCATAAGTGGTAAGAAATTCAATGACAGCATAAAATCTGCAAATAGAACTGTATTTTGATAGCAAAAAATTTAAATTGATAACTTAAGTATGTAATAAAGCTGTAATTTTGTTTCAGATGTGGGAGTATTGACTCTTACACAATACATATTGCTCGATCCAATTTTACTTTTTTTCATTATGGGTGCAACATATGGAATGATTAAATTTTACAATGCTCATTTATGGTAATGAACACAATTAGAATGAAATATGCATGTTATATGAAAATGTTTACCATTTATTATTTTTGTTTATTAATTTAAAAAAAATATTTTCACTGAGATTTTTTTAAAGAGAATATAACGTTTTATTGATAGATTGCATATTACATGTCATTATGGAATAATTTGCTTTTTAAATTTTACAATTTGGGCGGTTTTGTAAGACAATGGTTGTTGACATATTGGTCTGTTAAAATAGAATGTACTTGACTTACCAAAATTAAAATTTTACACTTGATTTATATAAACTGCAATACTGATGTTAATTTTTTTGTGTTTTTCAGGTCTTTTACATTAAACTGGTGGTTTTGGCTTTGTTTTACTGGCTTTATGCTGGCCTGTGCCGTTAGCACAAAATTTGTCGGGGTGTTTGTTGTCATACTTTGTGGCTTACTAACCATTTCCCAGCTTTGGGAAATCTTTGGGAATCAAAAACATTCAATGGTAAGGACAACTTAAAGACTAACATTTTAATTGTGATATGGCATTGTTGGCATTTATGTCGCAAATTGTTTTTTTTTTCCTTGTTAATAATAAAATGCTTGTCTTATTACCATGTGTGGCATGCAAAAATTAATTTGAAAGCTTTATTTTTAGTATGTTATCGTCATTAGTTTGAAACCTTGTTTTCATTGGCTTTCATATATGTTTAATTTCATAATATGTATGGAAATTCACAACTGTTATATGAATTTTGCTTTTTTTTTTAATTGTTTATATATATTTTTTTAAACTAATGGTTCTGTTAACACATTACGGCACTGATTTGTACAGACTGTCCTGTGATACAGAAAAAAAATTATAGCATAGCAAAAAATTTATTTTTTCAAAAAATCGTACAAATAACTTGACAAACAGTACCTTCACAGTAAGGTTGACAAAGCGATGATACTAAAGGTTTGTGACAATGATTCAATTCCAAAGATACCCTTGGGAGCGTCGGTAGCCACAACAGTTTAGACATTGAAATGGCGCACGCAAACGGTATACTTTAGAGTAAAGGTGCCGGGTTCGAATCCAGCGGTCCTGCATTTGAACCCTGAATATTGGGTCAAATGGGCATTTTATTAAAACCATTCATATAATCTTGTAGTTTAAATACCCTTGTTTAAATAAATAAAAATACCCTTAACACCCTATAACAAGCTTCGAAAGAGGGGGGGGGATTAGAAGAGGTGGTCATTCTGGAACAGCATCCATATATGGGGAAGGATTTAGTGCATCGTTCCAGAAGATGGCCATAACATATTTGTTTATATTTTATTATTATAAATTGTTCAATAAAATGGTTTGTAAACATATCTCGTGATATTTTTTCTAGACTTATATACTGAAACATTTCACTGCTAGAGTTGTTGGGTTGATTCTATTACCGGCATTAGTGTACATTTGTTTTTTCTATATTCATCTACAAATTTTAAGTAAAAGGTAAATCATGTCATGAAATAATTCCTGTAATGATTTTTTAAAATTATTTTTAATCATGCTTTGCTTCGTAGTGGCAATGGTGATGGATTTTTTAGCTCTGCATTTCAAGCTCAGTTGGAAGGAAATTCTTTGCATAATGCTAGTATGCCAAGAGGTATTAAAAATTACCTTTGGAAGAATAAAAAAAAATTACTATTTAATTGTGAATATAATTAATATTGTAATATCAATAATTCCAAGTAAGTGTGTTACTAAGAATTTATTTATGTTTTAGAAGTGGCTTATGGAGCCATTGTTACACTGAAAAATAAAAGGACTGGTGGGGGTTATTTACACTCCCATTGGCACTTGTACCCTGAAGGAGTTGGAGCAAGGCAACAACAGGTACAGCATTTTTTGTTATTTAGGAAGCTTTTAATAATTAGTTGTTTAAATAACCTGCAAATAAATCAAATGTTCAAGTTTAAAAGCGATGATGTGTACAATTCGTGGCTGGATCTCGTCAATTAATAATAAATTGTAATTAGGTCACCACATATACACACAAAGATGAAAATAATAAATGGCTCATCAAACCATTTGAACGTGAGCCGAACACAAGCAAAATTGAATTTGTTCGCCATGGAGATCTAATAAGATTGGAACATGTGCCAACCAAGAGAAATCTACATTCACATAAAGAGCATGCTCCGATCATGAAAAAACATTATCAAGTCACCGGTTATGGTGAAGTAAGACCATGGTATTTATAGTAATTTGGTTTATATTATTTACCACTAATTCAATTTTTTTCTTTAAAGAATGGCATAGGTGATCCTAATGATGTGTGGAAAGTTCAAATTGTAAGTGGAGGAGTTTCTGGTGTGTTGACTACTGTAACAACAAAAATTAAACTGATCCATTATTTAAATTTGTGTGTACTGACAACAACTGGTAAACAACTGCCGACATGGTAATTTCATTTTATAGCCTTGCTTATTTGCTTTATTTTCATTTTTTTAAACATGGATATGTTTTGGGCTAGATACACAAATTTTTTTGGCGTCATCAATTTTACGTTACCGGAGGGTGCGCCATGTAGTAATTTTGGCTGGGGAGGTTACATTAGAGTTCTTAGTCCAAGGTAGGATTAGGATTAGGGACCAGATATTACGAGTTAATTCTATTTTGATTGATTTCTCAGAAGAATGAAACAAGTGAAGTCTTTACATTGCATAGTATTTTCTCAACTTTACTACTATGATAAAAATGCACAAGGTATTGTTGGGATATACCACAATGCACATGCAACAGCATTAATAAGTGCAAGTAATTTTTGGAAACTGTTTAAAAATATTTTAATCCAAAATCCGCAACAGTTAATTTTCTTGTGTAGCTGTGTAATGATTGTTTTAGCTTAAGAATTTGCAAACCATGTAAAATCAGTTGCCTCAAATATAAATCAGTATATGGAAGATTTGATGTGAAGCTAGAAATGTCTGTGCGGTAATTTCTCTTGTATTTCTCCACATATTACTAAACTGTTACTATTTTTATAACAGGTGTTTTGCCTTCAAAATAAAATAAATCTCTTAGTTTGCAAATTGTGCAAAAAATTCCGAAGTGGGCTCTTAAAATGGAGCCTTGCAAATATTTAAAGACTAGAGTTTCAGATTAGGCTAGATAGGATTAGTGTTAGTGGCTGGTTAGGTTAGTTTAGGTAGGGTTAGTCTTAGGGAATGGTTAGGTTAGGTTACTTAATTTTTTGTAGTGCCTGATGTCAATTTTGAAGTCTATGTTATATTTATTATTAACTTTATTGAAAGATTCTTAGAATTTCATGCAGTAACAATTCAGGGAAATGCAGGCTTGAAACCGAAAGAGGGAGAAGTCACTTCAAGACCCTGGCAATGACCAATCAACTATAGGGTAAAATGTTTAAAGAAAATTGATCTACTTTATTCAGTCAGTTTTTTAAAGAAATAATTATAAACTAATAATAGTGCTAATTGATTATTCTGTAAAATTATTTTTTTATTAGTTAAGAATGTTTTAGTTTAGGTTAGGTAGGGTTAAGGTTAGGGATGGGTTAGGTAGGGTTAGTGTTAGGGATGAGGAGATAGGGTTAGGTAGGATTAGGTGAGGGACTGGTTAGGTTAGGTTTGGTCAGAGGTAGGTTATTGTTAGGGACTAGTTAGGTTGAGTTAGGAATGGGTTAGTGTTTGAGGCGAGGTAGGGTTAGGGGGTGGATTAGGTAGGGTTCGCATTGGAGACAAGTTATGGTTAAGGACAGGTTAGGTTAGGTAGGGTTAATGCTGTATACAGGCAAGATACACAATTTTTTTCGCATGACCATTTACTGGAGATTGCACATGGGTTCGGTTAGAAATTGTTAGGTTAGATTAGGTAGGATTAAGGTTAGGGACAGATTAGGTTAAGTTAGGTAGGTTAGGTTAGTAGGGTTAGGTTACATATCCATGATTCGTTGTTTTTCCATGAAGCAAAGTAAATATTTCTTATTCTTAATCTTCTACTTTTACAATTTGTAATTGTAAAGTTTTTTTGCATGTAGGGCTTATGAACAGCAAGAAGTAACTTGTAATCCCAATTTAAGGGATCCTTATGCAATTTGGAACATTGAGGAAAATACATTTGCCTTATGTAAGTTTTTCTACTTTATGTGTCTTCATGTTACAGAAAAACCTTTGTTTAATTTTTTGTAGTGCCTAATGTCAATTTTGAAGTCTATGCATCTGGCTTTATTGAAAGATTCTTAGAATCTCATGCAGTAATGCTTCAGGGAAATGCTGGCTTGAAACCGAAAGAGGGAGAAGTCACTTCAAGACCCTGGCAATGGCCAATCANTATAGGGTAAAATGTTTAAAGAAAATTGATCTACTTTATTCAATCAGCTTGTTAAAGAAATTATTATAAACTTATAATAGTGCTGATATTAAATATCTTGTAAAATTATTTTCTTATTAATGTTTTATTTGTTTTAGGGTCAATTCTTCTCTGGTAACGGTTATAGAATATACCTGCTCGGCAATCCTATTATTTGGTGGGGCAATATTGTTTTCCTTGTCACCTTTGTCGGTTTATTTTCTTTGAACGCAATACTTAAACAGCGTGGTTATGGTTGGGTTTTGCTAAATCCAGGTATATAGAAATTTTATAAGGTGAAGAAAATTTTGGACTTTGCATTTATTTAATTTTCAGAATCTGACGCTATTGTCCTTAGAAGTTGTTTATGGCTTTTTGTTGGTTGGGCTCTACATTACATACCATTTTGGGCAATGGGTAGAGTTTTGTATTTCCATCATTATTTTCCTGCACTTCTCTACAGTACAATGTTGTCAGGTAAGTTTCTAATTGAATTAACACTTTTTGATTTTAACCCTTAGTCACAGTTGTGTCTCTCAAACACATACTTTCTTAAATACTGAGCTCAATCTCAGTTATTGTTTTTACTCATTTTTCAACATTCAAAAATGTAAATGTGTTTAAATAATGTTAATGGGTGGTGTTGAATTACATAATTATTTATTTAACCTCCAATAAGGGACTCTTCTGTTTTTTATATTTTTTATTTTTTTAAGGGTTGGGGCTGTTAATATAGAATTGTGACAGTCCTTTCCTTCACTGTGCCCTAAGCAGATCTATTATGGAACCCCTATAAATTATAGCCAGAATCAGCATGTTTCTGTCTCTGCTCTGCCCATTTTCTCCAGATAGTTAGGGCAGTGGCTGATATAGAGGCCTATAATTTTCCTCAAATACTGCCTGTGAGAGGGTTCCTTCACCTTCCTTTTTGAGAGATTTCTAAATCTGTTAGCTTGCCTCATACCTGGTACATTTGTCAAGGCCATTGTATTTATTTGTTTATTTTCCTAGACAAAAGGAACGGATATGGTGGTTGTGCCATATTGATTAAACAAAATATAGAGTACTCAAAATACCCATTGTAGGGAATTTTCCTGTACTGAGCAAAGACCGGCTATAAAAAATAAACTCCCTTCCCAAGGAATTGTCCCAATTGTCTCGATATATAAGCCCGAAAACTAAAGACAAAGGCCTAAATTGGTATGAAATTATGGGACAATTTTCAAACCTTATGCTGATAGGAGGGGATTTTAATGCTCATCACCAATGCTGGCGATGTTTATTTAAAAATAATGCCGGGACAGCATTAAAACAGTATCTTGACTCGTGTCATCATTCACTTGGTCTGGGTAAAGGGCTACTGTGGTAAGTATAACAATCAGGTCAATTAACTGGCAAAAGAGGCAGCAGTTTTGGGAAGTCATCTTGAAGAAATTTCAATGTTGGATATCACTTCTTATAGCAAACCTAGTCTGAGAAAAAAATGACGAAAGGCATATAAGGAAGAAAATAAATCTAAGGGCCTATGGTATTCTAACATACAGCCAACGATTCAGTCTGTGCTTGGTTTCTTAGCATGAGATGACAGGGAAAGTTTTTCACTTGTATATTTAGGCTTAGCACTTGTAAAAAATAAAGTGCCACCACTCACTTAGTTAACTTGATTTTTAGTCATTAAGAACATTGAAAACCTGGATCCCATTTTCACTTTTATAAAAAAAAAGATTTAAACAAATTTTAATAAAGAAGGAATATAGTTATATTTGAAGAAGGAAAATAGTTATATTTGATCATGTGGACAATGTGGGCTAGCCGGGTGGACACTTTTGATCTATCGGGTGAGTGTTGCTCTGGATTATGGGATAGATGTGCACTTGTTCATAGGCCCTACGTGCCATGTAGATGGTTTTTATGGAACACTTTTATGGAACACCTGGAACAATCCATGATTAAGTAAAAGAAGGTAAGAAGGAGCTTATGCACGGGAGAGGCCTGGGTGTCCTGCCCGGTCAGCACTCGCAGCCTACCCTTTTTTGTCAAAAGAATAAAAATCAATATTAAATGTTTTTCCGGTGTTTTGGATCATTTTCTTTCAAACCATCATAATTAAATATTTTTTATTAAAATTCATGAATTTCTGATCTCATTTAATTTGCTTTACATTAAAGTGAAGATGTTGGTATTAATATAATGATAAAAAAAAATAGAAATAAAAAAAAATAAAAAAATAAAAATAAATATATATAGTAGATTTATCCTCTTTTTCCAAAGTTGATTTTGAAATCTGTGGTCAGGTTTTTTAAAAACATGGAACAGCTTTTCAAATCCTTCCAGACTCGGGAAAGTTGTCGTGGATGAGGGGATGTGGAAATCCCAAAATATATACTGGTACAACAAAATACGAGTTCCTAGATTTTTTGTTTTATCTTTGAGTGTATTATGAAAAAAAGAGGGTTATCTTTAGCTATCATTGGTAAATACAATTTGTGGAAGATGTAAACATGCAGACTTTAATTTCACCATATATGCTCTTTCTTATTGACATTTTCTTTTCCAGGGGTTATAATTACTTATATCATTGAAATAATAGGACAAACATTTCTGTCAAAATGTCCCAAATTATCCTATTCTCTTTTTGGGTTGTGCTTAGCTACATCGTATTATAGGTACGAATTATACATTTTATAAAAGATTAAATAAAATATGTTTGAATTTTACAAACAAAGACAATTTTATACTTACTGTTTCTAACTTGAAAATATTAAAAGTCATAATAATTGTACCGATTTTTGTTTTTTCCAGTTTTTATCAATTCTCACCTCTGGCATACGGAATGTCCGGTCCTTATTCTCACGAACAAAACAGTACCATGTATGGACTGAAGTGGATGGACTCTTGGGAGTTTTAACTGGAATGTACTTAATTATGTGATTTGTAATTTAAGCTCACAAGAAAGTTCTACTGAATTTCATGTCATATAATGTTTTGTAGGTTTTAAGTTCATGTAATTTTTATTGAAGTTTTTTATATTGTTGGTGTCATTCAGTATAAAGCTATAAGACAACTTAAATATGTATATACATAATTTTACAAAACGTGTATAACAGTACTTATGTATTTTTTACTCTTACTGTTTAGTTGTTAACTGTATGTATTATGTTTTGACATCCCACCAGTGTAATTATCATTTTATAATTACTGTATTGAATATACAAACTGATAAAAACAAATTGTTTAAAGTGAACAATTAAATAATTGTTTTTACTGATAATTTTGAAAGGATTTGGGATGAGTGTGGAAGACTGCCGTATAAAAACTATTTTTTTTGTAATCTCAAGATTTTTGTGTACTTAGCATAAACGTAATGTAAATTCATTTAAAATTGTGGTGAATAGACCATTTATTTATGTGATAAGACATGAAACATGGAAGAATACTCATGTAACCCTAATAATTAATCATAAGTCTGGACTTGGATTGGCCTCATTTTCGTATTTGCACAAAAATGTTGTAAATGTCCAATTAAATTGTAAGTAATTAATTATATTGATTTTTCTATTGGGAAGAAAAAAGTTGTTAACTACTTTTAATTGAAAAGGATGATTGAAGAGACTGTTGTCTGGACCAATTTTTTATATTTTTTATTCAAATTAAGAGCTATAAATCTATGCAATATGGTATTTCTTATGCCAATATTTACATTATGGGAAGGCCGGAATGTGGAATATAATTGATATTTTTCTTCTAAAAACTGTTGATAAAATATGTACTTAGATTTTTAATTTGTTGACGAATATTTATTTTTTATACTATATAGATATATTTATTTATATTTATATTAGCTATAAGATATTTTGTAGTTTTATAAGAAATTTTGGATTGTTAACAAACCATAAGTCTATATAAAAATAAATTTTTGTTGACATTTAACAAAACACGTTTGCTTGTTTTTTAAATTAAGAAAAATACTTCAATGAATAATAATCAAACCCATTTTCAGGTTTCAAATATCAACCTGTTATACAGGAGGGCTTAATGTCAACTATCAGTTGGGTGTCAAGGATGAGGGGTCAGACCACTTTATACAATACATTTGTCATACTATTCTCAGTTAAAAAGCCATGGGTTCTGCCGGGATTTGAAGCCTGAACCGCTATAGTGGCAAATACGAATCACACACCCTATCCACTTGGCCACTGCAGTCCCAACTCCCACGTACATTTCTGTAGCTACTTTTCTTGAAAAGTACAGTTATCAATATATCTGCAGTTTCTCTTTATCATTCTTCTGATTTTTATCAATTGTGTGCTTTGCACATTACCTGTGATGCACCCAGAAGACACATGCCATGAGAAACTCGCTAATGCTGGCACTAAACATTTCCTATGCACAATCACAAAATCCCTTACTCAGCTTCAAGTGTAACTTGACCATCCCAAAAGAAAGAGATTATTAACTCCTGGATGGAATCTCCAATTCCATGCTAAAAAATCTTAAAAGTGCTGATTTACTTACATGTATTTTTAATGCCATGCACATTCAAGGTTACTTCCCTTGGATTATAAAGATCGCCCAAAAGAAACTAATAAAAAAAAAAAAAAACAGTTCGGGTTTTGTTCAGGTCTGAGCACATCCTTTCAATTAGATATTATGATTGAAAACTTTAATTTGCAAAAATATACAGGGATGGGCATTGTTGGATCTGGAGAAGGCTTTGTCACCATGTGGCACACAATGGTTTGATTTTCTGGATAATGAGTACAAATTTAAATAGTACAATTGTATCTAAGCTTGTATCTAAAAGATTGGTCTTTTAGGCTAGAATGAGGTCTATCTCTTTGCAACCTGTATAAAGTAGCAGCAGGGGTTCCACAAGGATCTATTCTGTGGCCCGTTTTTTGTTTTTTTTTTATACTTTAATACTATCTCTCGAATAGACAGAATAAACAAATGTTCCCTGGCACTTTATGCTAATGACGCAGCATTGTTATCAACACATTGGAGGCCAGAAGCACTTGCTAAAAATTGAAATAAGGGAAACAAACAATAACTACATTTTATCAAAAATGGAAATTAAACTTAATGAAAACAAGACTGAATCTATATTTTTCACCAAACAAAGACCAATAAATGGTGGGTGGAACTCAAACAGTAAGTTGTGTGTGGTGGTTAGTGACCGTTAGTCGGTGATTATTCACATCTAACAATTTCTGAATAATCAAACAGTAATCTAGGCGTATTACTTGACTCTAGTTAACCTTCAGCCCGATATAAATAATTTAAAAACAAAGAAAAATTTGTGATCAAGTTCATATTCCCCATTCTTTGCCATGACTCCACCATTTCTATAAATATAAATAATAACCTAACTGTTTGCTAAGTATTAGTGAAACTTATGCTCCTATATTCCAGCAAAGTCATCCTCATAATTGGACATGGTCTACTCACCTGTCTTCAATTAACTACACTTAAACAATTGCAATAATACTTTATTGATAGTTTAATAATGAAATTATTATTAGAAAACAAGAACAAAGAAGTCAGCAATCTTAAACATACTCTGCTCGTCTCATTTCAACTCTGCTGTTTCGGGAACATGATGTTGCCTTTATCGCTTACTTACTTCTTCGTGCATGACCGCTTCTAACCTCTGGAGGAGTCAATTTATTTAAACTCATCGTCATATGGCTCCAAAAGCACCAAACATCAAGGAATGCAATGTCAAATATAACGAATTTTTTTTTTTAATGATCTCTTTTTCTTCCATAACTGACACCTTGAATAATAATCAACAAAAACGGAATCCAACCATTGGTGTTCTCATCTAATTTACCAGTTGTATGTAGGTCATTCCTATGCCTATCAAAACTTTAAAGATGAACAGGTGTTTTTTTAAACAGCTAAGCTTTATATGTGCATTTCTACATAAAAAGATAGTTAAACAAACAGTACTACAAATTTTAAATAATTTAATAAAAAATAATATTAGATTTGTTTTTATAAATAAGGAGCCCAGCCGCAATACATTTGACAAAGGTTTGTGTGACTTGTCGCTTCGTTCACTAAATATCTTATTTGACCTTCAACAGAAAGCGGATTACTTTGCTTCACGGGAACATTTGCCGCTGCTTTGGTCCGTACAGTACCAGCCAGTCTTTTTTGTACATTTATTATATTTTGCTTTGCCTGCAAGAAAGAATGTTGTATTAACACAAACAAATTAGAAAATCAAATGTTTCTTAAAAGAATCTTATCATATCAACTGCAGAGAGCCTCTCTTATTTAATTTTGATGATTCTCCCTACTTACTTAAACAATATTAAGGGGTTTTAGTCGTGACTGTCGCAGAATAGTTAGTGGTTGTAGACTTACAGGCAATGTTATTATTATTCTATCCACTAGCTAAATTAGCTGTTTATATTAAAACTAGTCAAAAAATCTTAAAGGTAGAACAAGAAGAAAACTTGAATTTAAGGATTAATACTAAATCTGGCCACGTGGTTATAAAATGGATTTACTGTGTGAAAATTGTTTTGTATTTCCTACCTTTCCATGTTGCCTTGAATCCTTGCATTGGCTAGAAATGTTTTCACCTTACGTAGTAACATGGATATGGTGCAATTTTTGTTTTTGCATGGCCATTTACCGGGGATTGCATATAGGTTGGGTTACGAATTGTCAGGTTAGATTAGGTAGGATTGAGGTTAGGGACAGGTTAGATTAAATTAGGTAGGATGAAGGTTAAGGATGGGTTAGGTTAGGAAGGGTCCTTTGTCAAAGGTAGGGTTAGGGTAGATTAGGTAGGAGGATGGATTAAGTTACATATCTGTGATTCAGTGTTTTTCTGTGAAGCAGAGAAAATATGCAAGTATTAATTTTTTCAAAATGTTTTTTGTTCTTTTATTATAATTCTGAATAGAATTAACAATAAATTTGCCACTATTCCTTCTCAGCAATGTTTGAAATTTTTTTGAATGTACAAGTTTTTTTTTTATTGCTACGGCTCCCAACTATTCAGCTAATGAAATAGTCAATGCTGCTGCCAGGTCCTATCGAAAATGCTACCCATGCAAAAAAATATCATCCTTGCCATAAAACTCAACTAGTTACTAAAGTTAGTCAGGATTTGGGTTAAGTTAAATTAGGTAGGATTAAGGTTAGGGAGGGTCTAAGGCAGAGTGAGCATTAGGTTAGATTAACTAGAATTAAAGTTAGGATGGGTTAGGTTGAGTAGGGTACTTGTCCAAGGTAGGGCTAGGTTGGATTAGGTAGGAATAAGGTTAGGGACAGGTTAATAATATTAACAAATTGGGGAATTAACAAAAATTGGCTGCTGTTCCTTCTCAGTAAAACTTGAAAATCTTTGCAATATACAGTATTTTTGTTTTATTTCTTTGGCTCCTAACTATTCTGCTGATGAAATAGTCAATGCTACTGCCAGGTCTTATGAAAAATGCTACCAACAGAAACTAACATCCTAGCCACAAAATACTTTCAGCTGGTTGCTAAAGCTAGGTAGGGTTTGGGTTAGATTAAATTAGATACGATTATGGTTAAGGACAGGTTAGGTAGGGTGCCATGTCCAAGGAAGAGTGAGGGTTAGGTTAGATTAACTAGAATTAAGGTTAGGGATGGGTTACATATGTGTGATTCAATGTTTTTACGTGGAGTGGAGAAAATATGCGAGTATTAATTAAAAAAAAAAGCTTTTTGTTCTTTTATTATAATTCTGAATAAAATTAACAAAATTTGGCTGCTGTTCCTTCTCAATAAAGTTTGAAAATCTTTGTAATATACCGTATGCTGCTTCCTGGTCCTATCAAAAATACTGCCTGTGCTGAAACTATCATCCTTGCCACAAAATACTTTCAACTGATTGCTAAAGCTAGGTAGGGTTAGGGTTAGGTTAGGTAGGACTAAGGTTAGGGACAAGTTAGGCAGGTTAAATTTAAATTGGATTAAGGTTAGAGATGATTGAGATTACACATCCTTATCCCTTCTCAGTAATGTTAATTAAAAATCTTTGCAATGAACAGTTTTTTTTTTTTTCATTTATTGCTGTAGCTCTTAACTATTCAGCTAAAGTCTATGCTGTATGAATTGTTGGCAAGTGGAAAGGAAATAATTGTGATGCTGCTTGAAATGCTACCCATGCAGAAGCTACCACCCACTCAGATGGTTGCTAGGGAGGGAAATTCGATAGGGAAGTGAAAGCTACAAAAGGATTGCGATCTGTGTGAAATGAAGTTTACAATAATAATAAATATTATTATTATTATTATTTTTTAACGAGGGTTCGCAACAGCAGAGGTCATATAAACCCTCAGGGTGCCGGTGTTTTTGAAAAAAAGCCCATTTGTAAGTATGTCGGGTTCGAATGCAGGGCCGCTGGATTCGAACCCGGGACCTTTACCTTACAGTGATGAGCGCCGTGTCAACGACTAAACCTTGCGGCCACCGACGCCCCCAATATTATTATTGTTGGACAAATATCAGAGGATGACTGGTATATTGCTCCTTAAGCAATCTTGTTTTTATCCCTTCACCAAGCAGTCTTCTGAAGATAAATGCACAAGGGCAGAGTTTTGCAGATGGGCACCCAGGATGCAAAAGACAATTACATTACTTCAGAAAAGTTTTATTCTCCGTTGAAGCTACTTTTAATAGTGATAGATCAAAATCACTACAATAGCTGTTTCTGATCAACCTTTAACCCAAACTGGTGCCATCATCAACTTCAACAGTCGGTAAATTTATTGTGTAGAATTTTAAACGATCAAATACTCATTCCTAACTTTTCGAATGTACTATGAATGGACAAGTTTATGCAGAACCTTTGAGAGATTAACTTAATGGCCTGGCCTTATCCTTCAATTTTAGCTAGAGAGAGAGAAATCATACGAATTATTCTTGGGGGAAAGATAATGTGAGGAAAAGTCCATGAGTGATGATGGGAATCGAACCCATGACCATGAGGTCTATTAGTTGAGTCTAACATGCTGACAATTTCTGCATTCCACTGATTCCACGATATTATTTAAAAATTTGTCCCTAACTTTTATACAATTACAAATCTTGGCCGATTTACAATTTATGGTATCTGTATAAAAAATAAATTGAATTTTGAACCTCTTCATTGATGAAATCTATTCCTTCTGATCCAATGGACTTGGGAGCCATATCAATGTCATACATAAAAGGCTTTATAACAGATATCAGTTGATCCGTATTGCTCCTAAGGACTTTGTTAGTTATTTCACAGGATTTTAAGAAAACACCCTCCATTCCCGTTGGGCCCATTGCTTTCACCATGTTATGGGTAAGCCGAAATGGAACTGTTTCAGGATAAAGGAACTGCTCTCCCTGAATAAAAACAAATTATACAGAATTAGTAGAGACACAAAATTTCATAAATACATTCGAGTCCTTACTTTATTGAAAAGACAGTTAAAATCCACGTGAACCACTTCACCTGTTGTTGTATCCAAAAGGATATTTTCTCCATGTCTATCACCTAGTCCTACAATGTATCCGACGATTGACATTACCGCAAGTGTTCTAACATAGCTTTTTCTTGCTAAGTACCTAGAAATGCAAAGTCATGATGTGTTTTCTCACAAGCAAAATCAAACTCAACTTAAGTGTCTAATTACTTTATAAATTTAATTAAAAAATAAATCTATATTTAAACATACGAGAAAATACGAATATTACCATGCATCTGGCCGTGGAAAAGCTTGAAAAAACCATTTGTGCAGAATAGGAGGATGCTTAGCAAGAAGGCTTTGTTCAAATATTTTTAATTTATTTTCTATCGGTGCTGTTGGTGCTAAAAGACCATAAACAAATTAAGAAGCATTGTAGAAATAAAATACGACAACAAAATAAGTTACCTGTCATTAAACTTTTTACTTCTGAAGAAGTCATTATTTCAATTTTAAATTGTTTGTACATCTGGATCACAATTCGTTTAAAAGGAGTAACATCTGGTAGCCACTCGATTAAACCACACTCACGACTAAGTGGAACAACACTCTAAAAACAAAGTATATAACATTGTGAAAAGTTATGTGAGAGCTACCCGCTGTTTGATCATCCTATTAGCTCATTCATTATTATTAAAGAAATTAGAATGATCAACGATACTGCAGATTGTACTGCTCCGATTTATTGACAACCGTACTTTGTATCCACACAAGTAAGTGGTTATCTAATGTTAACACAATAAATTTTATTGTGTTAACATTAGATAACAGATGTTTTTTAAGGATTTTTTTTTTGGGGGGGGGGTTTGATGCAGATTACAATTCTTCTCTCCACTGTGACCTAAACAGGTATATAGCCATACCTTAGAAAGTTTGCTATTCTTTATAAAACTGAGAACTTTCCTTGGTGCCTCTTTGTGGATCTCTTTGGGTGTGAGAAATGTCCTACCAAAGTAGCTGTACCATAAATGGACTAATGCTTTACATTCACAAAGGATGTTTCCATCTTAACGTGACGAGGGCAATGTCCTATAATTTTTCTTAAATCCTGCCTGCTGAGAGAGAGGAGTTTTTCCGCCTTCTGTTTTGAGATGTTTATAAATCTCTTCGCTTGCCTCATACCTGGAGTATTTGCCCAGTGTTTGAGTTTTTCTTTCTCAATCTATTTTTCCAGTTCCAACTTTAGCACATACTCTGGAGTACTTAATTGTGGTTCTGCTCCCATGGGTGAGAAGGTTGTCCCTTTTTTGGCTAGTTGGTCAGCCTATTCATTTCCTCTTATACCTCATGCCCCAGAACCCACTTTAAAGTAATCATTTTTTTTTTTTTTTAATTTTGACTTAATTTGGTTGTAACAATATTTTAAATCAAGAATGTTAGTTATTTATTGGAACTAAACACACTATTTATTTTTTATGCATTAGCAACTGAAATATAGCACGTAAAAATAAAAGGTGTGTTTATTTCCAATAAATAACCAACCGTCTTGATTTATAATCTTGTTGTGTTTTCCTAGAGCCATTAGACAATTTAGGCCCTCCCAAACAAGTTTGGAGTTAAAAGCATAGGCATTTAGTGCTTTTATGGCTGCCTGGCTGTCTGAGAGTATATATTTATCTGTGCACCTTTCATATTTTTCTGTATTACCTAATGTGCACATAGTGTATCACGTGGACTTCAGCTTGAAAAATCATTGGCCGTTAGTCCAAGGTGCTTCAGGGGTGCAATTTAGCCCCTACATCTACTCCCTGTTCCATCTTTGATCCATCTGTATACCATATTAGGGCCCTTTCTTGAAATTTACAGGGGATTTAAAGAAGATTATTTGGGAATAAAAAGAAAAATTATTTGAAATACATACGTAAGTTCTAATAAGCAAGCCTCTATCATGTGCTGCTGAATCTCTGCGCAAATATAAATTGATAATGGAATTAAATTCCATTATTCTTGAATCCAACCGCAAATCATCCTAAAAAAATATGTATATCTATAGTGTAAAATTTATAATATTGGGTTGTCCGGAAAATAATGCAGGATTTTGGTATTAAACAAAAAAAAAGAAACTAGTTACTTTAAAGCAATGTTCTTTAATNTTCATACAAATGAGTAATCCTGTAAACGTAAACAGAATATTTTATATAGATTTTTTTTAATGAAAACTTAAAATCCTGCATTATTTTCCGGACAACCCGATACATAAAATAATAATATAAGCTAAACAGCCCCTAAATATATATGGATTAATATAATATAAGGGTGAATAAAAAAAAGACCGTTTTCTAATTTTATAAAGGTTTCGTACTTTTGGGCCAAAACTTGTGTACGTGTTTGGCATGAAGAGAAAAGTTGGTTGATGTATCCCACTTGTCATTCCTTGGCTCCATATAGAGAGCATATAGGAATGCCTCTCAATAAGAGAATTGTGCTTGAACACAGCTGAGCGTGTCTGGTCCCCTCTTCCGATTCTTGGAGGAAGCAGGGTGGTTTTATTGTACGTAGTAATGATAGTTTTGTATTCCTAGCATGTGTTGAGAGTGAGTGTGCAGTGTGAGAGGGCCGATGGCAGAATATTTAGTACCACATTGTCCCTCAATTAGGTTAGTTATATAATAGGTGTAAAGCACCCTTTAAGGAATAGGCATTAAGGAATACTAAGTACACCACCATTCTCTAATTGAGTGATTGGTATGTAAATAGGAAAGAATCCATATAAAAGTTAGGGACAGTGGAAATGGGTTTGGTTTTAGGAACTGATTACGTTGGGCTGAAATAAACTAGATGTTGATAGCCCCTGGTGTCCAATTTCGTCTGCTGGACACACCAGACCAAGGTCTGACCCTGGACTGCCAAACCAAGGGTACTGATTCTTCAAGCTTGCCAGCAATAGATTGTAATATAAAAGCTGGAATTGTCAGTGCACTGCAAGAAGTGGTAGGGTCAACTCTGAACGTGCCTCTGCAGACTTGAGGTTAAATAAATCAGTAATCTCTTAAGCAGAGATACAGATATACCAACACTCAACAGTATAGTTGTTGGTTGCATAAACAGAAAAAAATGAGAATGCGGAGAACAAAAGAAAAGTGGACAGCAGACAGATATTAAAACTGGTAATTTGATCCTTACTGATCATATTCATCAACATACATAAATGATTGATAAAGTTCAAATTACAAGTTCATCACTCTGCAGACCACAGGACGATATCTCACGATTAAAATTTGTAGTTGAACTGTTGAAACAATATCAGTAACTCCAGGCATGATGTTAACCAATCAAACAACAGTTGAAACATGTAGATATTTAATTAGGAGGTCATTAATTATAACAGAGCAACATAAATACGAATTTTGTATCTCCCCAGGATTGAGCATTCCATAAAAAATTGGTCTCAATGGAGCTGGAATTACAGAAGGAGCAAAGCCTCCCCAGCATGAAGCTGAGTTCAAATGTAGTATCTCAATCTTAATCAGCCAACGTACGTCATAAGTGTTAGCTCTTAATTAAAATCAATTAATGTAGAGGAATGACGTTCTTTACAGAAAGTTTGGTGAATGGAGGAATGAATACGAAGAAATTAGTTTGTTTCATTCGCATTGTGATATATTTTTTTAAATCAAATATTATCCTAAGAAATAGAAAACCCTAGGCCTAGGGCATAGCTCCAAAAAATATTCCATCATGGAGATAACCAAGATAATTTATTGTCAATAAATGACTGTTTCCCTGCTGTGCAACAGTAGAATGAAGATATTTTAAAACATAAGAAAAGTGAAAATCGGCAAACAGCATCAAATACTTTGTATTTCACTTTTATTCATACAAAATTATTTATTTTTATCAAACTGTTTATTTGCCATATTTGCTGTGGAGGCTTTCAGGGTGAGATGTTTAGATCAAACAACTCCCTTTTAAATGATGCTGAAAACTAACTAAATTTAATCTGAACTGATGAAACGGTACTTTTTCTTACTTCACCTTTAAATAATGGAAATAAAATTAAAAAAGAATAATTACCATATGCTTGCATAGAATCGGATAAGTGTTTCCATCAGAACCAATGAATGTCAGTTTCTTTGGCATTTGAACAGAGAATAAAACATTAACAATTTCTTTCACATCTTGGAAATATATCAGTGATCTTGAAGAAAAAAAATCATAAGATGGTCATGGGAAAAATATAATAATCATTAAAACTTTAAAATAAATAATACAATCCTGTGTAATAAATACACAAATAAGCTCAGAGATAGTCTAGTATTGAACAATTTTCAATCCATTATCCATAAACAATGCAATTTAAAATCCATTATTGTGTTTTAACTAAAGACTGGATTTTCGTGCAGTAAAAAACCTTCACAATGTGCAATAAAACCTCGAAACATGCAAATACATGTAACAAAAACTTTAAAAAAGTGCAATAAAGGAAAAAACTCCCATTTAACATTGCTTCTCTCTAATACATCTCAATTGATTATACTCATTTTTTGAAACCAGTATGTACAACTATGCAATTAAATTTTATAAACTATGCACCAAAGAACAAGTATGGAAAAACCAACTTAATATTCTTTTAATGGTTGTTTGAATGGAAAAATCAACTTTAAATAGAAAAAATTAATCTCTTATATGTAGAAATAGAATATTTAAAAGAGTTATAAAATTTTGGCTACACATATCTACAAGAACTACCTGTATTTATGAAAGAGCATTGATAAATTGAGATTAATCAGTTGAAGACTACGCAATATAAATAATATAGCCATCTATATAAAGAATAAAAAAAATACGTCACCAAACTTTGTAACAAAATTTTAATGCAATTAGAAAACCTGGAATTTAAAAATAAAATAAAAATGCTATTAATTTTTGAGCAGTTTATATACAATAATTTTAAAAAAGTAGTAAAAAATTAATAACAATAAAATAGAGGGGGCCTCGTTGATTGACACGGTGCTTATCACTGTAAAGGTTGTAGGTTTAAATTCAGCGGTCCTGCATTTACAGACTTAACATACTTACAAATGGGCTTTTTTTTTTTTTCAAAAATACCGACATCCCGAGGGTTGATACTTCTACTGTTGTGAACCCTCGTTAGAAAAAGAAAAAATACAGCAAATTAATTTTTTCAATGTAATTCAACCCCCATAAATTTTTATTTCTCTCTGGTTAAGTAACCCTGTAGCCGCCATTTTTGAACGTGGCACTATGAACTCAGGCATTATTTTTTTAAATGGGTTCTGCTTTGCCCCCAAGCTGACGAAAGACAGAAATAAAAAGTTTGAAATACGCAAATGATGAAACATATTGGATCAGCGGATGTTGTGCATAAAACAATTTCTTGCAAAGTCTAAGCATCAGAAACTGAAAACTTTGATGAAGCCATTATAAAGAAATATTTTACTCTTTTACTACTTACGCAATACTACTAACCCACAAAAATTATGAATTATGAGTTTTCGTTCATAAAAAATAATAAACAAAAAATAAGAAAAATGTAATTTCATGCAATAATGCCAAAACGTGCAATTTCATTCAAAATAAGGTTAGTGTCAAAAGAGCATCTTTTCCATGATTAAAATTTCTGTCATAGTTTCATAGCAATTGGAGTTAACAATAAAAAGGTGCAATCACACGGGAATCTGGTCTTTTAGTTATAGCATATAAAAATTTAGTGCTTTTAATAGACATACACTAGTAATAGTGTTTAATAGTAGTTTCAGAAATGAAGAAAAAACTGAATGAACTTAAGGTATATTAATAAATTTGCATTGTTGTAATTGTGCATAACTTAATAAGCAATCCAAGGGTGTTTAGAATCTGTTGAAATTAAAAATTGAGATTTTAGCCACCCATTTAATTTGCAGTAGATAGATACATACTGTGGGAAAGGGTCGTGTTGCATCCTGCCGGTGATTGACTTACAATACTTGTAATTTGGAATGTCAATATTTCTTAGATGTTGAGAAGGAACCATTATTTGCAAACGTCTTTCCTTCAAGAACTTGCGCAAATCAGGCGAAAGGGCCTGCAGCTTCATTGCCGGCGTCTACAAACACAAAAGTAAGTACGGACATTAATATTACCAGGTAAGCAAACAGGTTTGTGTGGTTTTTAATTTCCTACCATGCTGCTGACACCATTAATCAACAATTCTACATTCATAGGAGTAGGTGCTTACATCATGATTCTACACTAATACCAAGAGGATAATGTATCAGTTCATAAATAAAAAGCGTCTCGAACAGTTCAACGTAAATTAGAAAATATTTTCTTTCCCGTGGCTTCAAAACGCATAATTTGTGAGCTGCCTTGGTCGCCATAGTACCCATCTTAAATTCACACAATCACTTTTTCACAAACTTTTCTGGTTACCTGGTATTTGTGAAACATTGCAGTGATGCAGAGAAGATGACACAATTGTGCTATATGTTTCACTTATTAATAATTATTGTGCAAAAAAAAGTATGAAGTTTACAACTGCAATCAACTAAATCAATATTTTAGGCCACATCTGAAGATTTTTACATTTAAAAAACTACTTATAAAAAGTTGTAGAAAACATTAATACATGTATCATAGTAAATAATTCTTCACTGTAATCCTAAGTAAAAAAGAAAAAAATTTACATTTATTTAGTCAAAGCAATTTAGTATTTTGATTTTTTAAATTTTTATAGATTGCTTTGTTTAATTGGCTCCCTGTCATTTAAGTAATTAAAATATACACTTATATCTTTGTACATATGTCCTATCTAATCAACTCCAAAAAATTCTGAATTCCTGTCAAGAATCTGTGATGTCTATATAGATGTAAAATTAATTAAAATTGTTCTCTATAGACAACGAAGAAGACAAAATATATCGTCAAAAGATCGGCGTTGTTACAATAGCAACATTTGTTTTTCTGACCACAACCCTAATCCACATGACCATTATTGAATAAAGGCTAGTCGATCACATAAAAGATACAATACTCACATAGTTCGAACTCCTTTTGTTTGACAGATCGATTAAATAGTTGACAAATTCCACAAAGCCTTGAATGAATTTGGCCAGTGCTTTATTATTTTTTAATTTTGAAAGTATTTCGGTCACACGTCTTTTTTGATGCTCATGAGTAGTCTGTAAAAGTAACAAAAGTATTGTTAAACAATTGTTGGTTCAAATTGAAATAAACTACTGATGAACCTTAATTGTTGCCACAAAGGACCATATTGCTTGTTGAGGGTATTCTTTAAGAATGTTGAGTATTATTTGTTTCAAAATGGAAAAACACGGCACTGACGGATGATTAATTCGTGACAATATCTGTGAGAATGCTGTCATAAACATATATGTTGGTAAACACACTATACTATTTGCTGAAAATAAGTAGATAAAAATGTAACCATAGTGCAAATCAAGTTGAGACTAATTTATTATAAATCTATACAAGGATAAAAGCGAATTAAATTACCTGGTAACCAGAAAAGTCCGTCCATCATTTGTTATTGTTTTAATACAGTTAATCAACATTCTACTTACTTAGGACATAATACCAAAAGGATAATGCATCAGTTCATAAGAAAAAATGTCATGAATAGTTCACTGTAAATTATAAAATATTTTCTTTCTTATGGCTACAAAACTCATAATTTGTGCATCCTTATTGTATGAATTTAAGCTAGGTACTAGGACGGCCGAAGCAGCTTGTAAAATTTGCACTGCTAATGGTGATGAAACAATAAGTGAGTCTGCCCAAAAGCGGTTCAAGAAGTTTACTTCTTCTTCTTGGAATGAGAGGATTGAAGATGTACCACTGCCTGTTAGGCCTTCTGCATTTAGTGAGGGAAGCTTTGAACTTGATTCATTCCAAACATGTCAAGAGCTTGTCAAAGGGCCACTCGCTCTAGCTTACATCAACGTAGGTAGACGCGGAATCTGAGCAAATGGATTGCCGACAATAACAAGCTTCAGCATCTAAAAATTTGCCATTTATTGTTTTCACAGCACAAAGTAGAGAATTTGTTCACCAGATGCAATGAAAAATGGATCCAGTACAGTAACACTAGGAGGTGGTATCATCGGTTGACACCAAATGTCCCTGTCCCATTGGCGCAAAAACCAAATATTCACCAACAAAGGTGATACTTTGTGTTTGGTGGAGTGTGGCAGGCATTGTCCATTACGAACTCTTGCCACGTGATCAGACTATTATTGTAGAAATCTACTCAAACCAACTGCAATATGTATCTCTTCCCCTAGGCCAAAAACAACTTGCTCTGATGAACAGAAAAGGAGTCATTTTTTGCCAGGACAATGCGAGACCTCATACAGTTAGAAAAACAAAGGAAGTGATAATGAAGCTATCACACCCTCCATACTCTCCCCCATCTAACTTTTATCTTTTCTTAGCAATGGACAATCTTATGAGCAATCAGGAGTTCGATAATCGCTAACAGATGGAAAATAAAATGAATTTATTTTTCAAATCCCAGGACCCAAACTTTTATAACTAATTAACTAAACTAATTTTAATTGTGACAATTATTAAACCCGCATGAACTTTTCTGGTTATCTGGTAAAATGATATAGAATAATGCTGTTTGCATACTCATAAGCAATCTAAATCGGTCCAGCATGTCTACAATGTTTTTTTTATGTGCTACATGTTCATCAGTTAGAATGGAGATGGTTTTGGTACTTCTCGATGAAAAATCTAGCCACAGGGTTAAAAGACAAGGCATAGATTGATAAATAAATTTGCATCCAAATAGCAATGACTTGCTAAAGTTTAATGCTGCTTTATACTGCATCTCCCTGAAAATCAAAGATAACTTTTACATTGCAACTTTCATAAAGTAATTATAAAAGAAAAGAAAAACAATTCCTGTTTTTTTCCAGTTTTTATAAATATGAAAAGTCTTGTGATCTTTTTTAGTATAGCAAAACGGTGGTCCATTATTCAGTAACAAGACTTTAACTTATGACTGCAGATTCATTTAATTCTAAAATAATGCTGCTGTCACACTGAAACTGACTAAATCAGATTCTGGAATGTCCGTAAACATCCAACTTTACATAAACATTCTCAATCTAAAAAGCCCTCTCACACTGTAACCAACTTAATACTTCCATTTTGTTTTGACTTGTAACTCGATCCCAGCAAGCTGGGATTTTTTGCGTTTGACAGTCAACCTAAGGCACTTCTAAGAAGAAAAGAATTTTTATTGTGTTGAAGCTTACATTAGCTTTTTACAAAACTTATAAAACTCAATGTAAACTACTTATATTTTTATATATCTATTCTTGAAAAAGGGCAAACGAAAAAATTTTGTTTATTTTCCCGGAGGTCCCATAAATATAGCCTCTCCTGGACGAGCTTTTCTTTACAGTCCATGCTTCCATTGTGGGCTAGAAGAACTCGTTCACACCAGTTTACAGTAAAAATCAAAACTATTTTGGATCCGTTCATTTCTCGCAACTATATGTAATATTTCTGATGAACAAGATGGCACAATACACGAGAGTATGGACTTGTGTTTAGATCGTCCGTCCATTTTCATGCGAATTCTCACTTTTCACATATTTTTGGTCCCATAGGGTGCGAGGCATTACTTCACTTTTAATGTGAAGTTGTTAGGATTTTTCATGAAGAGCCAAGGACACAAAAAAATTAGTTTTTAATTCAAGAAATTGCTTTTAAAATATCTAAATAAGCCTAAAATTTGAAAAAAAAAAAAAAATCAAATGCAAACCAACCGGATGCGGAATAACTACTACTGATGGAGAAAAAGTTCTGACAATGTGAGTGCTCACATCGGATGAGTAAGTTGTATAGTCGCAGTTGAGTGTAGTCAGTTCCAGTATGAGCCCAGCCTTAAATTAACTGATATTATGTGTGGTGTTTAGTGACCGTCAATTAATGTTTATTTGGAGATCGTGACCAGACCACAGCTCATGATCTCCAAATAAGGATATTATAATTTTTGTTTTTATTAAAACAATGCCTTTTACTCTAGTTTTTATGTCTCTGAATATTTGAAATATTTTCCCTTAAAGAAGTGGACCATTGGTTTTAAAAAATGTTAGTTCGAAAAAGTTAGGTTAAGACTATAGTGAGAGAGGGGTTGATATCCAATGGATTTCTTTGTTTAACTAGTAATTGTAACTTGTACACAAATAAATACCTTGTTTCTGAACTTTTGTCAGGACAACGTTCACAGAGGTGTTGCTTGTATAAGTATTGTGCCAAATAAACAAAATTTTCTTCAAGATTGCATAGAGTTACAGCTTCATATATACTTTGGTATCCTTTATTAAAATCAACATTCATATTTTCAACATCATACTTAGCTATCAGCATCTTCGCCTACAACAATAAATTCACATATTTGTAGTATAGTGTAATTTTTATTCTGAAATGTTGTACATGTTAGGACAAAACAACTCATTCAATTCAAAACAATCCTGCATATTTCAGTGGCCATTCCATAGCAATGGTTGTCTAATTTGGCCAAATATAAAATCAAATAATTTCCTCTTGAGGTTAATCAATCAGGTCTGGCTATCCTTACTGTTTTGGTACGATGCATTTTGGCATTTCATCATCATCAGTTGATTAGTGTAGGGTAGATGATGGTGAAATGCTAAAAAATATCCAACAGACCAAAATGATTAAAAACAGCAAAACTACATTAAAATTTAAGTCACAATTTAGAAACTAAAATAGTTCCAGTTCCTACCAAATCAAAAAGTATCAAAATCCCATCCACAACAATTAAACATCTCCCTTCTTAACAGATCCAAATAAACAAATAATAGACCGTTTTTTATAAACCAAACGAGTGTCCTAATGTGAGAACCTGTGTAAAAAGGGAATGTGGAAAGAAAAATAGCTTTATTCTTTCAAAATTCTTCAACCTCTATAGATTTCATACTAAAATTATGATCACAACAATTAAATGTGCCTTTAATTAAATTGTCTTTTCTTTTATTAACTGCCTTCCAAGTTTCTAAAACTGAAAATCATTCTTCTCCCTTTGTTTCTTTCCTTGGCGTTCTTTGGTCCCACCTCAGTGTGCTTTTTCGTCTCACCTCAAATCAATATTTCTTTTAAGATTAATTAAGGTTTTTAGTTGAGATGAAAAAAAGCTAATGGCACGAGCGGGATTCGAACCTACGATCTTCGGCTAGATACGCCACTGCTCTACCACTTGAGCTNGCTATCCTTACTGTTTTGGTACGATGCATTTTGGCATTTCATCATCATCAGTTGATTAGTGTAGGGTAGATGATGGTGAAATGCTAAAAAATATCCATGTGGTTCTGAGTGGAAATAATATTTCATTTTAGGCTCAGATCTTCAGGGTAAGATCATTAAATGTGAGTAGGAATATTTCAAGTTAATATAAATCAATGGTAACCAAAGTGGCCAAACTGGGGGGGGGGATTTTTTATTACTTTACATGGGGGGGGATGGCTTTCATGGTCACTATGATGTGTTAGTTTTCAATGCAATTTCAAATGATAACAATCAAGGCCTAAGAGAATCATCCAACAAACGCAATAAAGAAAATTGCATAATCTGCAGAATGAAAGACAAAAATAATTAGACAAAGAAAGGCCATTTTTGGGAGAGATAAAAGACAATATTATAATCGATGTCAAATGTCTTGGTGTAGGAGATACGGATGTTATATGCTCTTGTGTCGTGCTGCAAATTTTTTGGACAATTTGTCGATTGGGTATAAGTTGTTGCTATAAGGGTAAAATTGTTTTACCTGATCTCAATACCTATCCCGATGAATTAAAGACTTTTATAAGCATCCAAAGAGATAAACAAACATTTTTGGAAAAATATTCAAATTTATAATAATCTATTCGCTTTTCCGTCGTTCAATGCTCAAAATGCAGATATAAAAGAAAATGGTCCATATTCCATATGGATTCTAGGTGCAGCTAATATCAAAGCTGCACACAAGACTTATAGGTGTTAAAAACAACGAACACAGTTTTGGTCAAATATGCATACTTGACGATGTAGAAACAATGCACTGAGCTTCAGAAAGTTAAATAGCAAGATGTTTTATAAATTATTCAACCTATTATGAACCACTGAGCAATATAAAAATCTCTCCTCAAATATACTTAGACACACGAATAGATACCTAAAGGGTCTTTGTTTTGATACAGTTGCAATTCCCAGTCCATCTAGCATTTGCTGTAACTATAAATAAGTCACAAGGACAAAGTTTTGAGAAAATAGGTTTGATTATAAATTCAAGAAACACGTTTACACATGAGCCCCCTGGTTATTAAAAAAATACAAGTTGCGAAGGTTTGATTTTTTTGTATACTTTAACTTTAAGGAATTTCGTTGATCTGAAGAGGACAACAATGGACTGGCTGGTCTGGGAAGCTCAGAACTGGGGCGCCATTACTTGGCAAAGGATGTATCTCCTGGAAGGACCAATGGGAGCCTCACAAAGATTGAGTCCTCATAAAGGTGAGACATCAATGTTTTGGTTTGGGTCCAGAGAAGTCTAGGTTATGCCAGTAGCTCACACCCAAGGGAAATCTCCACTCAGGAGATAGAGGCCGCTCCACGGCAGGTAGCGCCTGCTAGCTTTTTCACAAAGGGATGAGTGGGCAGTGCGCAATAAGACCTCACAAGTTTAAACTTCGATACTGATGAAATTATGAAACCAATGATAAAATAAACAACATGGATTGACCTATAAATTGTAGTGTAAAAATAGTTAAATGAGAAGAAAGAACATTTCAGTTGAAATCAACCAAAAACTGAATATTGTGAAATTAACTTACCCTAGCACTGAGTATTAAATTATTTTTGTCCGTTAAGCACTGTCGAATTCCTTGTTTTAAAATAAAAACAGCTGAATCCGTTTCGTTGTTCGCTCTATAATATTTGGCTTTCTGAATGAAAAGATCTGGGGGCGAGTACATTTCGGCAATTCCTATGTTTGAATAAGCATTTGTCAGGCTTCCATTTCTGAAAACAATAATAAAAATTCATACTAAAACTTGAAAATAAGGAAGGACAAAGTAGGAAAAATATCAAGTAGGAAAGGTTTACTGATATCTTATTGATTCAAAATATAAAGTAAGAAAATATTGAAAAATGTGAATTTTAACAACTTAGAAAGTTGTTAGAGTAAAACTTGTTTTGGTTGACTGGCAATACTAAGCATCGCTTTTTGTTTTATTTTAAAGTCGAGTAAAAATAATTTATGCCATATTTTATGTCCAAAAACCTGTCATGTGTTATGGACAAGGGGTCAAAAAACACTTAACAGTACTTTCTCAAACAATAATTTGGACACATTGCATAATGTATGTAAATTATGAAAGAAGAATCAGACACGCTAATGATCGTGACCTCAGTTAATAAGTTTTATAATGAAGCATGAAATTGTAATTGATACAAGAAACACTATTTAACAATATAGTTTGAAACTTCTTACTTTCTTTCTATTTTCACTGCTCGAATCCACATTTTTCCCAATTCTTTTAGAAAAAGTTCACCATTTAATACTAAATGTTGTTTGCTGAGATTCAGCGCAACCATCATACATTGTTGTCTAACTTTCAGCACATCTTGTATGAACAGTCCGTGAGATGGCAATAAGTTGAACCGAGAATCCAACTGGCTAAAATACTGGCTATAGTTTACGACGGAGAAGTCGTCATTGCATGATGTATTTAATAAATGTGCAAAGTTGGTCACCTCATTAAGGATATGAAGCCTATTGAGAAAATAAATTTAAAAAATACACATAAAAATATACCTAAAAATATAACGACTTACTTTACAATATACCAATAGCCTTGCCTATACTTAAAAACATTCTTGTTGCTTATTTTCGCAAGGCAATCGATTAAATGACACTGCATAGAATTAACTTTTGAAGTCATCTTTTCTATAGAAAGTTGCCTTAAATGTTGAAATGCGCCTATCAAATCGATTCCCCAGCACCAGCTATTTGTAATTCCAGGACCAAGTTGATTTAATTCTTTGTTTAATTGATCATAAGATGAAGTACTCCACAACACCTCAATGTGATCATTGTATAAACTTGGTTCCATGTAAAAACTAAAAAAAAAAAAAAATTAAAATTCAACCAATTTAATAGATAACAAATTCATGTCATTCAAGTCTTTCAGAGGGCACCAGTGACCAATGGTGGCAATAGTTAAGGCATTGACTTGGTAATTCATCACTGTAAGCGGCTCAGATTCAAATCTCATCTGCCCTTACTTAGAACTACAAATAGATTATAAGAATAATGGAAACCCACAACCACATCTATGAAAAATCAAAAGCCCAATTGGCCACTGTGTCCTCTCATGGTCTAATTTAGTCTAAAAAAGTAAATTAATCTATGTCAGTCATAGAGAAGAAATTAGATGTCCTATGAAGTGGGTGTAGTGAACGAGGGGGTCACACCACTTCACAATCTTTTTTTGTTTTTGCGGAATTTCAGTATTTCTTTCTTTATGCAGAGAGAGGAACCTGTAGTTTGGCAGTACCAAACCAGATCGAAACAATTGGTAATAGTCCAAATTACAAATAAATTGATTTTCTATTTATTATTTGGAAATCATGAAATGCTGTCTGGTGTGATGTAGGTTTTAGAAAAACATTTTCTTTATCGTGCCAACGTTTCGGTCTTTATTGAAATCATCTTCAATGCTCAAAGTGTTTATTTTCCATGTAGATGTGTCATTCTTGTGTGTCGTGTTGAGAGTGCCAGTCCAGCCAATAAAGGTTGAAATGTTGGCATGATAAAGAAAATGTTTTTCTAAAACTTACGTCACACCAGACCGCATTTCACGATTTCCAAAATCCAAGATCCTTTCTAAAATCCAAAATATGCCGTATAATATGAACTTATTAGTAACACTTAATAAGATATCAAATATGTAATATTATATGCATTTATATGTATATACGTTATTATATAATTTCCACTAAAAATATTAAAGTATGCAGCATGTATATCAGACCTGGCTAATAATTAACTTTTTTTAAGAAGACATTTTTTCTCTTTGGTCTATTACATATTCATTTTGAACGAACATAATACATAAAAATCTCAGTCACACAAAAAACTATATACATGAAAATATTATATAAAATAAATAATAAACCAAAAATATACAACATATATAATTAAGATTAATTAAGTTCATGATCTGAATTATAATAGATTTCATGATTAGTTTCTGAAAAACAACAGCGTTTATTATTCATCAAATATGCATACCTTGAAACAGGCTTTGCTATGTCGACAGAGGTGTCAGCAACATACTAATAGGAACTTAACATAATTGGATGGTCAATTTCTTGTACAATAATTATACTGTTTTCATTTAAAATTTCATCCGTTTTCCCCAATTTAGTCAACCTGGTATTTTTGTCAAGGATTTTTTTAAATTTCTGTTGTAATAAAATTCTAGCATTGCCCGGTATTTTATTAATTTCTGTTTTGCGTCGAAAAGAAAAATCCAACCTGCTATTTTAGAAGAAGTCCAACATTTGGTATTTTTTGGGTTGCAAATATGAAAGCGGACTGATACTATTTTTGTGTTTCAAATGAGGCCTTTATTTCCAAATTTGACTACATATTACTACCGTATTGTATTTTTCTTATTGGAACAACCTAAAATATGTGTACATAAGTTCATACATAACATTGACAATAGGCACACGGTATACAGAAAGTGTCTGATTGGTATGCAAATAGAAGAAAACGGTTCAAAGCATGAAATCATGGTGTTTCCTATTATCTGCTGTTCTTACTATTCACAGTGATGTTTGGTATGTATCCTCTGTGGATAATGAGAGTCTACAGTAAATTATTATTATATCTCACCTTTCATTTATTAGAGTTTTGGATAGTCTTAGTGCTATAAATGGTTGATTGATGCACAAATAACATTGAATCAACACACGATACGAATGAGTGCTATTATATTTCATTCCCAAATGTTCATAACCGCCAACAGCATCCTTAAAAAGCATTAAAAAAATTACAAGCTTGTACTTTTACTTATTTTATTTATGTATCTAATATATATATAAATTACATCCGCAAGAGTCAAATTTATAACTTAAATATACAGGGTGTCATTTTTTGACGCACCACTGGAAAATCAACGTGGGTGCGTTTAAATCTGACTCAAGGCTTATTTCCTTTGATTAATACGTTAATAAAAGAAAGTGAATCAATTTTCGGTGCACCATTGGAAAATCAACGTGGGTGCTTTTAAATCTGACTCAAAGCCTATTTCTTTTGATTTTAACATTAAAAAAAGGAAGTGAGTCAATTTTCAGTGCACCAAAGGAAAATCAACATTGGTGCGTCTAATTATGACTCAGCACGTTTTATTTTGTTAGTCTTGTAGCAAAAAATGAGATTGTTACATTTATTTACTTTGCCAGAAAAAAATACTCTTAAACCTTAATCAAATTAATTTGTGAAGAATTTTATTAAAAATTTTACATTGTGTTTGAATGTTTTAATAATATTGGTTTTGTTTATTTTCCTTCCAACCTACTAAAACTAATTTTTAACGAATGGTGTGTCAAAAAGTGACTCGCCTATTTTTTGGTAGGAGACTAACAAAATAAAATGTGCCGAGTCATAATTAGACGCACCAACATTGATTTTCCTATTGTGCACTGAAAATTGACTCACTTTCTTTTATTAACGTATTAATCAAAGGAAATAAGCCTCGAGTCAGATTTAAACGCACCCACATTGATTTTCCAATGGTGCGTCAAAAAATGACCCTCAGAATATATAATTTTTCAATAAATCAGTTCCTTATGTGTAATAAATAAATATTAAAAAATTATATATTCTTCATTATCTGGCTAACTTTCTTACCTGAACTGTTCCTGATACTACATGTTTCAACATCCTTTCTTCAATTGTTGGAATTTTTTTACCACACCTCATGACGCCAAGCAATCCATCTAAATCATTAAGCTTTGCATATGTATTCTGTTAAAAAAAATCAAATTATGTTATTTTTCTTCTACAAATATTCATGGTTATGCAAAACAATAAGCTATTTATAAATCTAGGTGGTGTCCAATTTTACTTACTCTCAGTGGAAATAAGTTCATACTAGAATAGTCAGAATCTTCAAAACTTTTTTCAAAGTGATAAAGGGAATGGCAAAAATCATTTTGTACATAAGACTTCAAAGACAATCCAGTAGCCGAGAACTTTTTCAGTAGAACTGAAACACAATTTTATTGTAATCAATCAAAAATCTCTATAATTTATTTATATTTTACAACTAATTTCATACATTTTAAATGAGAGATTTTAAGAACTTCTTTGTTGACTCCCAGATTTGCATCATGAACTTCAATATCAATATATGCTTTGTATAGAAAATCTATTAAATCCAATATAATGGCTTGATACTTGTTATGCTTTTCATCTGAATACATGGAAATGACGTCATCAGATTTTTTTTCCTTGACCAATGATAATTTTTTAGGTATTTGCGTTCTCTCTCGGTCAGTATCCCAATGTAATATACACTTCATTTCCTTCTCCACCAAAAAAACATTTGTTATGGTGGAAAATAAAATCACATGCACTGCAGAGAATAAAAATTAGTATGTATAAATTACAACACGGAAAAATTAGCATGAAATACTTACAAACAATATAAGGTAATACTGTTTCAACAATTTCCAAGTCTACACCGAAACACGGAAGGCACTTGAGAAAGACTTCTTTTGCAAATGAATTTGGTACAAATGTCAATAATTCTGAGCACCATTTAAATGCCCAAACAGTAGGCGATAAGCCAACATGTGACCTAAAATTATACATTGAGAACAATTTCATTTTATAGAAATAGATAAGTAATTACCCGAATACTATATCGTGGCATGGTCGCAACTTCAACTGAGGAGGTTTAAATATATATCTTGTTTTGAGCAATGGCTCTAAGACGTCTTGTTCATTTACTGAAAAGTTTGTGAAAATGCCTTTTTCCCCCTGTTTATAATACATTTTTAAAAGTTCCTGAAAATAAAAACTTTGATTATTAATAATAATTTCAATAATTCAAAAACTACCATTGACCAATGTATTACCTGTATACTGCTAACAATAACATTGACATCATCAATTTTATCCATTTTATTCAATTCCCTGACCATCACGCCAATACAGAGCGAAGCAAACTGCTTACTCCTTACGTCGTATATGTCGTTTCTTTCCTTTGCTAGAATAAAATGTCAAAAAGGAAAAATAATACAAAAAATTATTTGTGGAAAAAGAAGCCAGACCTTTTTCAAATTTGAACGTGAATCTTGCTGGATCTAAAGCTCCCAATTCTCCTAAACACATAGCACAAGCAATCTTTATTTCAGTATTTCTATAATCAACATTTGATAACACACAAGAGACTATCTGAAATGCAAATACTTTATTAACCAGAAAATTTTTTAAATAAACAAATACAGTATGAAATTGTCAATTTATATACAACAGATGAATAGAAGGCAGAAAGAAAATAAATGATTTTAATATAAATATATTTAAAATTAATTAACACCTATTAAAACAAATTCAATAAACTATGAATTTCTGGTGTAATATGACAGACAATATTGCAATGTCTAAAAATTTACAGTACCTCTTCAAAAATCGGATCGAGAGTTTCACTCTTTAACGCTGTATCATACAGCATTGGTGCATAATTTCGCAAAAGTAGATGAAGGTGTCGCAAGCCAACTGCTCTAGCTTCTACATTGTCATAATTCATATGTTGTATTGTTCTGCGAATGTGTTCTTGGTAATCCGTGTCTCTAGAGGGAAAGATGATTATCTATGTTACCCATCTCGCTCATAAAGTGTACCTTATGTATCCTAAAGATTTACTTTGAAAACACAGATTTGATTGCTTTCCAAACAGTGTGCATAATAACATCATCCGGTACATCAGGAACGAAATACAAATCTGGAATATATTCGGCACAAGCTTGGCTGTTTTCAACCACCAAATAGTAGAATAAATTTCTAATATCTGTTGGGAAATGGGAATACAATGGCAACAATTGTAAAAATATAGTTGAAAGGTAAGGAGCCGCTTTATACAAGTCCACACTGAAACATATATTTAAAACAGTGAATTTATACTGTGTATGAGCAAAATTATTGGAAGGTATACAAGGATAATTATTACAAAAACACAAATAAACAATCACAAAGTTTACAGTTGTTACATAACAATATTTTATCACAGATGTTAAAAGGTTGGATACACAGCATTTTTTACAAGGAAGTGCGCATAGGTTGGGTTAGGTTAGGCAGGCTCTATTGTTCAAGGTAGGGTTAACGATTAAGTTAGGTTAGGAAGGGTTAGGGACAAGTTAGGTTATGTTAAGTTAGGTAGGGTCCAATGTTCAAGTAGGGTGAGGAGCAAGTTAGGTTAAATAAGGTTAGGGATGAATTACATTTGGTAGGGTCTAATGTAGGGTGAGGGGTAAGCTAGGTTAAGTTAAGTTTGGGTTATTGTTGGGTTAGGTTACATATCCACGATTCAATTTTTTTCTGTGGGGAAAATATTTACCATTAGAACCACAACACAACTTTGTTAATAGATACTAAGTAAAAAGTAAATATAATAGTACCTGTAACAGAAATAAAGCCAGATTTTGAGACACTGTTTTGGAAATGTATTTATATGAAGGTTTACTCCCGTTCTCAGCGTGTTTAAAAGTTTAATACGAATACTAGTCACTGCTTCTGACCCTAAAATCTTGATAAAAGCCCCTATTGTTTTCAAGCATCGTTTTACGACGACTTTTGAAGACTTGGAAGACGTTAGTTTTGAATCTATAGCTGTGAGTAAACCAACTATGTTTTGTTTCAAGAAATTATTCTGAAAATGTAATGTATTTATTTTAGGATTTGTCAAATTAAGTTAGTCATTGCAATTGTTATACTCCTTATTTAAATGCATAAACATTATTATTTAAAAATGGACTTAGAAAAGTTAAGCTTTGTTAGATGATAAATAGAAGGACAAATGTATCATTGATTCTTAATTGTCTTTTAAACTTAATAATTTACCTTGGCCTTTGTATGCTGATCACTATCAGATATTTTAAATAAGAACCTGATAATAGATATTGGTTTCTGGCAGTTCAAAATTACTTTACAAATAAATTTCTAAAATAAAAACACAAGATTAATAATAAGTTCTTGTATTGTTTTATTTATTGTACATTTTTATGATAAAAATAAATAAAATGCTAATGATGGAATACTTACATTATATCTAAAATATATTAGTGTCTTTAAGTCGTTGTCAGCTAACTTCAGTAGTAAATTTAACATATTTTTTTTCTTTTCTACATATTTATTTTCAATAAAATATATACAGCAAAATATATCCTATTTAGAACAAAGAAATATTGAGTTAAAGTGTAATAATCTGTGTAAACCTACATTTTACTGACTTCGAAATAGTTGGTTAACAGTTGTTGCATTGTAAAGCCTAAATATTCTGCAATCTCATTGTAAACATATTTAACCTGATCAGGTTCAAAGCAAGACATTACGTGCGTTAAAATATATCTTGTTATATATGAAAATAATGCTTTTTCAGGCAAAAGGCCGAACATACGGGAAAATTGGTAAATAGTTTTCCATATACAATATTTGCCCCTGTGCAAATTGTATATAATGAGTTCCGCAATAAACTAGAAAACCCAAGTTGATTTCTTTTATATTAGAAAAAAATATAATTCCAACAAGTTCAATATAGAAAAATAATAATTTACCAAGCCAATTTGTTCTTCGTGCTCAATTAACAATTTCTCCATGTCTATTTCGTGTATTTTTAATACTGGATTTAATAATTTTTTCAATGTACCTTCATCAAACTCCATACCTACACAGTATGCTAAAATAATCTTAATAGTCGGTATTAAAAGTTCTTTAACTGGTAGGCTGAAAAATTAATAACCAATAAGCATGAAAAAAATAAAGAAATAAGCATTTGTAAACAAACCTTGCTATCTGTAAATGAAATTTTAAAATGACACTAATTGTAATTTCCCTTTGATCAGCTGTCAAAGAATCAAGCTGAACCGCTCTATTGCAAATTGATTTGTACATGACTTTCACGACATCGATGTTAACCGAGTGATCATCGTTGTAAATTAAAGTCCACAAGTATTGTATAAGGCCGATTCTATCTTTTAATTCTGGCTCCAATATAGCATTTATTATTTTTTCCACGATTTCAGGTGATTTTAAAACAGGCGTATGTTTGGAATAATGGCAAATAAAAGAGCACATTTTTGTATGAAAGCCTTCTTTAATTCCAAAAATTCTATCACAAAATTCCATACTAGCGTAGTGGACATAATGGACAAGCTTAGTGTTGTAAGTAAATGTCTGTTTGGATTGCAAATCACAATCTAAGCAGCATAAATTGTGTGAGAACCCATGTCTAAAACAAAACATACTTCAATTATTTATTTGAATCGTATTATATGGAATTCAATATCTCAAAGAGTCGGCTTACCTTTGCACAACGCATCTATTTGCCAAAATGCACAATAAATATTTCCCCATGACATTATGAAATAGTACATTGATGTTAGACAATATAAGGTGATGTAATGACCTGGCAATGGTATTTTTTAAGAAATTATCTTCAAAACTCAGAAAAAAAATAACTAAAGCACTGATTGATTTTTCAACCAGTGTTGGGTGTGCAGCTTCCCTCACAATACCGCAAAGAAATTTCACAACAATGTGAGTATAGTTTGAGTAAATGTTTTCCTTCAAGACTAAAGTTAAATAGCAAAGCCCCTCCACACAAGCTTCATCTACCTCCAAACCTGAAAAGATTTCAAAAGAAAATTTAAAAACTTACACAATATAAAGTAGATGATAAAAGAAAACATTTACCAAGCATCGGGCTATGCCAAGCTGTGAGAAAAAGCATGTACACATCTCTTAATTGGCAAATGTCCTCACCGACTATCTTTAGAACTGCACTGAGTAATTTGATGAGAACCTGAAATGTTTCAACACTCGGCGATACCCTCAATGCCTGTTTGATAATGACTGGAGTTTTTTTAATATTTTCTAAAACGTCTTCACTAAAGAATTCTATCTTCACAGTTTTGTATTTCAATTCTAATAAACACTTGAGGTGATATCCTGTTCTTATTGCGTTCAAAGCAAACTTAAAATGGTCGTCTCGTTTCGTTGAAGAATCACTTTCATCAATAATATCTTCCAAATTTTCTAATATAATTTCCCACATTGGGTTAATTTTATTAACGCAAATTGTTTCAAATGCTGTATCAGACCTAAAAATTAATTTCATTTAATAAAAAGTTCTTACAAATAATGTTAAATAAGATTTGCAAAAATTATAATAAAAAAATACTGACTTTGATATTCCTGCAGGTATAGACAAGGAATCAGAATGAATATTTTGTTGAGTAATAAACTTTTCGATGTTTTGTAACATGCATTCTTCAAGGACTGGGTAAAACATCTGCAATTAACTTTATTTATTAATAAAAATAAATTGTTCTTAAAAGTAGAATAACCCTATAATTAAGATTATTTGGAGATCGTGAGATGTGGTCTGGTATGACATAGGTTTAGAAAAACTTTTCTTTATCGTGCCAATGTTTTGATCTTTATTGAGATCATCTTCAGGGCCTTATTTTAGGGATTTAGGATTTATAAATATTGTTTAAATTATACAAATACAAGTAGGATGTGGAAAAAATGAATTTATACAATACCTAACCTACATCACACTAGAACATCTCACGATCTCCAAATAATCATCTACTAACGGGTCAGTAAACACCACACATTTCTATAATTAAGTGCTAATGGGGTAGTTATTATATAACATTCATATTTAAAAATATAATTTAGTGCCTTTAATTAAACAAAATATATTTAACACGAGACATTGAAAACTACAATTATCAAGTGAGTGGCATTCATACTCAATCTATATGGAGCAAAAGTATAACCCTCTTCCATTGTATCCAGCAGTTGCAATTCATTTGTATTAACATAGCTATGTTTTTGGGCTGGATACATAATTTATTTACATGAAAATTTTCATGTCACCAATTTTGTGTTACTGGGAAGTGTACATGAGTTGAGTTAGATTAGGGTTAAGAACAAGTTAGGTTAGATTAAGAATGAATTTGGTTAGGTATGGTTAAGATTAGGATAGGTTAGGTGGAGTTATGATTTATTTAGGGTTAGAGTTATTATTGTAAACAGAAGAATAGTCATATATTCGGGCAGCGGTACTTAGGGCAATTACCACATCGGTAGTAAAGTCCAGTCATTTAGGATTGCATTAGGGCCCTGTCAGACATATGGGAAAACAACAAAATTATTCTTGTCTGGGTACCAGAGCATAGGGGCAACAAAGATGCCAATAAATTAGCACAAGGAAAGTTCGAAGACACCTGCTGGCCATGATCCCTTTTGTGGAATACCAAACTGCCAAAAACATGGATTCATCAGATAATGGATTAAAAATAAGTCCTCTGTTCAAATAGAATTTAGCCCAAGACAAATAGTTCATGAAAAGTCCATAACAGAAACTAACGGCAGAACTATTAAATTTAAAACATGTTAAGATTAGAATAACAATTACTTATAAACTTAGAATAACTTCTAATTGGCTGTAGACTCTGGAGGCATGTATATAGACTTGGAATGGTGCAGAAATGAGCCAGAAGCCGAGAAAGCGGAACATGCCCTCTGATTGTGTAAAATATGTCATAACATATAGCTTATGTAGACTTAGATTCCTACTCCTGGGAGAGCAAAAGCCCAGTCCTGAAGGATACACACAGAATCCTTGAAAATGCCTTGGGATCTGGTAAAAAGCCTTAAGCTAGATGAGGAGCTCTAGACATAAACGGAGATGCACAATAGAACAAAATTGGTTATGGAGTACAGGTTGTAAAGGGGCCGACTCCTTCTCTGATCTAATCTAGGATTTAGGACAAGTTAGGTTGATTAGATAGATTTTGAATTTGGATTAGAGTTAGGGACCAATAGGTAGGTTTAGGGGGGGCTAGGTTAGATAGGGTTAGGGCTAAGTCAGGTTAGGTGGAGTTAAGATTAAGTTACAGTTACGGATAGGTTTACATTTTCATAATTCAATGTTTTTCGTGATTGTTCATTACACTCATTAAAATTATCATCTAATAAATTAACCAGAGAACCCAATTATTTTTTGTCTTTGTTGTACCTCATATTTTTGAGCTACGTGTATCATTGCACTGATGTCGTTAATATCTGTTGTCTCTACTGATGTAAATTGTAACAACGAGAGTAATCGATTCGTCCATTCTTGTTTAACTAAAAACAAACAAAAAGTTGCGATTTGACTCCTTTATGTAATTTTAAAAAAATCATGTTAGGTAATACCTTGTTCTTCTATATTTTCACATTTGTAAACCAGCGCAATGAGGTTTAATAAAGATGAAAACATTTCCTTGTTTATAGCATTCACTCCTGAACATCCTACTAGAATCGCATGATCCACAGCTTCAGCCATTAGGCAAAGTGTATTTTTATTTAATTCATGTTGATTTAGAACCACGGAGCTGAATTCCAAAAAGCAATAGTTGATATTATGCCAGACCTTAAAAAAAAAAAAAAAAATTATGTGTATTACATGCTAAGATACCTGGCACAATTTTAAAATTGATTAATTGTTAACAATATTTTAGTAAGAAAAACATACCTCATAAATGATTGGTTTATTTAATTTAATAAATAATTTACAAGTTAATTGTTTGGCTTTTTCATTAACAACACCTCTCGATAGCTGCATTATATCTATTGCCAGCTGGAGGAGATACACTATATATGAATGGGAATGAATAAATTTATTGAAATTATGATCTATCAACTGTAATAAAAAAAACACAAAGTAGTTGTTATTGTTAATCTATAAAAAATAAAACTGCATCACTTGCCATTAGGAAACAGTAGAAAACAGCTGAGAAATCAATTTGTTGATTTATTTGAATGGTAACTTGTCGCTTTGTAACGTAGCTAGGAATATACTGATCACTTTTTATATGAAAAGTAATGAATTCATCATCGATGACGGTAGAACATTTTCCAAGTTTACCTACAGAATATCATAGATTAAAAAATGTAGCTTACATTACAAATACGAATTTCAATTACCTTTTATAATTTTTGCAAAACATTGTACTACTTCCTGCAAGTCTAAATGTGGTAATGAATTCAAGCAATTAAATATCGTCAACACACAGCAGATTATCTTTTTATACAAAAACGATATACTCTTTACACATAACAACTCAATGGCATTTTGAGTAAGCCATTTTAAAAAACCTAAAATAAATATATAATATAATAAATCAAATAAAAAATTAATAATAAATATCTTGTTCAGATTTGATACACTGACAGACAAAATAAATGGACCAACCTTAAATTTTAATGTATTTAGATTTATTCATATTTTGCATACCAAAAATAGTTTGGTTGTAAAAATAAGAAATAAGACATTTAAGAAGAAAATGTTTAAAGACTGTGTGTGCATTTCTTGGAAAAGATTTCTGGAAAAATCCTGAGGAATTCTTTCCCATTCATCACAAATAGCCGTTTGCAACTCTTTTAGGTTGTTAGGACTTGGATTTCCCCATCGTACTCATCGTTTATTGGTCCCAAATGTTTTTAATTGGGTTCAACAACAAGCACTCAATTCAACCTCATTCAGGTAGTCATCCACAATACGTGCTCTATGGGGCCAGGCGCCCTGCATTAGCAAGAATCTCTCACCATTGTGGAGGAGGGCAAATAGCACTGCATGTTTTTTGTTATGTCTTGTAAATACCTCTGTGAAGTTATAGATCTTCCTCACAATTCGGTGCGGGCGTACAAGGAAATGCCACCCCAAACATCAATGACCCATAGAATGCCACCTGAGGAATCATACAGGATGGGGCGGGGCGTATCTTTCTCCTGAGCATCTCCACGTGAAATTATGCCCATCTGAAGATTTCAGGTCAACTCTCACTTCATCTATAAAGAGAAATCGTCCCCAATCTTCCAAAGTCCAATTCACATGTTCCCAGGCCCCAAGCCTGGCCACTTTCTGAGCTGTGACAAGAAGAGGTCCAAAAGCCGGGCGACGGGCCCTGAGATTATTTTCATTGAGCCTTTTTCTTACAGTCCTGGAGGAAATCTAAACATTTCGGACTTGTATTATCAGATTTCTTATCTCATTTTGTGTAATGCTACGTTTTTGTAGAGATTGATGTTGAATAAATCTACCAACTCTGGTTGATTGGTTCTCTGAAGTGCCGTAAATCCCTTCCTATTGTAGAACTCAGCCTCCACTTTGCTGGCTGTATCCTTCCTCAATAATGAACCTGACACCATCATACTCAAATACCTAACTGGAGCCATTGAACAAGGTTTAAGAAGAAGTATAATATCAAATGAAATCAACAATGTAAAAACATTAACTGAAAACAAACTTAGGGGTAGCAGAATGGAAGTGCTTAATGCTTCCTTTTTCAAATGGGATTAATCAGTAAGTGAAGGAACACAGCAAACAAAGCATTATTTACTGTTTACTTTGACTACTATAGCTTCTAATTGCCTGTACCTAATGTAGAAAGATAATGTATTCAATTTTAAACTAAATAAATAAGTGGTGCATTAAATTTGTCCATCAGTGTATTAATAAACCAATCAATTAAATTATATATTTTTTAACAAGAGTATTTCAACTAATATTTAAAAAAAAGTAAGTATGTCGGGTTTAAATTCAGAGCCTTTGGACCATTACCTTACAGTGAGCACCAGGAATGAGGCAGGAAAAACTGGACTAGGACCAACATTCACATTCCTTGGAAATGTTGGGATTGAGTTTTCAAAGAAATTTGAAACCATATATTAAAAATTGATTATGACAATGTGTAGAAATAATTAAGATTGTTTTGCTCTGATGATGACCTCAAAATAGGTTTAAAGCTAGTTGAATGAAATTGTTTCTTCATCCAAACCATACTAAGATCCAGATTATTCATGAGTTAAAAAGTGATCGATACATCTAACAGTTTAAACTGAGTCCATGACCGTGGGTCTACAAGAGACTAACAAGCTGACCACCGTGGTCCCCATGCTTTAAGCTTGCACTGAAAAATTATAGTCCCCATAGAACTTTCGGTTTAGTGTTCGCTATATCTAGAATCATGTTATTGACCAATCACCATGACAGTCCGAGTGTCCTGAGCTTTCCAGTATAAGTTTCATCAGATAAAAACTAAGGCCTAGTACACACGAAGCATTTTCTAATGCGCGTTAGTGAAATGCTGAAGTTCAAAGTAGGGCGTACACATGATAATGTGTGATTAAGCCCAACGCACAATTTGAGATTCTCCTCACTACGCGCGTTTCACGGCCTGAGTCGAGACACAAAGTAACTAATGGGTCTGTTCAGATCAATGTGCATTTTACCATCTCCTGATCGATGTAATTGAAAAAAGACCTGCATTGCGGAACGTAAATTATAGCGATTATTATATTTATTACAGCTCCCTCATATCTGTCAACTATATCTCATCAACCACCACATTCTTCACATTCCTGTGATTTAGCCGTCGAGCAGTTCAGCATTGCAGCATGATATGGAAGTTCTTACGTAGCTTTTTTAAACTTGTCTAATGTCTCATGTATTTTTAAAAGTTGGTGTGTTCTTGTTCTGCAATGTCATCATTATCAATGTTTTATGATGAGTTTTTCTTCTGGCAGGATGGATTTTCTCACACAATGAGGTCTTGATGAAATATCGCCCTTAATCAAGTGCAAAAAAAGGTCAAGAGTTAAATGACATTCTAAAATAATTTAAAAATTTTGGTTCATAATAACGTAATTTTGGGTAGAGAGTAACAAGCATACTATTTGTGAATCTATCTCTTAAAATAAAATAGACCCAATACGTTTTTTGTTGCGATCTACTTAGTTTATAGCGGAAATAGAGATATCATAGACAAACAACTTCTTCGACTTCTGTCGTAAAAGTGTTCTTGCCCAAGCGCTCGATGTGTTCACCACAAGCGACCGTTTACATGCGATCGATCGTGCGATTCAACGCCCAATGTGTACTAAGCCTTAGAGACCCTTCCTGCAAGCAAATATCAACAGAAACCCTGTCAGGGAAAATTGACACGCCATCGAGTGACTAACTTTGAATTAGAACGATGGTATTGCTGTCTGTTGTGTCGATATTCCTCAACGAATCACATACAGTACTCAGTAAATTGTCCGCCAGAAAGCATTTTCTTTCCCTCGGGGCTTCTTCGTCTCGTAAAGTAAAAAATACGTCGTCCAAAAATGACCAGCAGTTCTTCCTTTCGGGCTGTTCGCTACAATTTCACAAAGAAAAATTAACAAAAAGCCCATACTTTTTGAAAGAAATTAATTCAAAAATAAAGGACAAACATACTCGATGTAGGACGATTCCATGACTAAGTCAGAATTTCTTTTAATTAACTAAAAAGCCCCATTTCCGAATAAAACAACTTTCAACGCCAATCACCGAAGTAAGCATGTTTTGATAACTGTTATCACCAGCCGTCCCGCGTTATGAATGAGCTTTAGTTCAAGTGAACGATTCAAAAAAAGAACGGTGAACGATCGTTCTTTTCAATCTACATCTCTACCTTCTGCAACTGATCTTTAATAGTAATTTATTTATTTATTTACATATATTGTTTGATTTACATAGATAAAGTATATAAAATGTATTTAAAATAATTAAAATATTATAAATGTATTTTATCTCAACCAAAACCTTACATAAAAAGAATAATTACTTGAAAGAAGTAACTTGGTCAATTGACCACTAAAACATAAATGTATTTTATGTTTCCAACATTTTAGTTATGGAGAAGAATATAACTTAAGAAGATTAAGATAAATTATGATTAATTATAAGAAGATAAATAAGTTTGGAATTCTTTTGATTATATCATAATTTATTTTACAGTGGTAATATTAAAGATGGTTTTAATTAACATAAGAAAATACGCAAGTCAAAATTTAACAGTGTAAAAGTAGACAAAACATTATTTTCAAAATGTAATTATAATACAAGTTATTGAAAATTTATTCTGATTCATTTATGCTTGGTTGGTACCTATTACCACCATCTTCACTGCTATTGGAGGTAGAGGAAGGGTCGTCTTCACCTGATTGAGAATAGGCCATGCAAGGTTGACACATGGACACTTACTTTTGGGCCAATGCTCTCGTACACACACAAGTCCAGCATGTTGCTTGATGTGTCCAACCTAATTGAAGATTGCGATTCATTGGATCCATATATAGAGCGCATAGGAATGCCACCCAATTTAAGAACTGTGCTTGAGCATAACAGCGAGTGTATGGGTCCCCTGTTCAGAGGAAACAGGGTTGTTCTATTGTATATAGTAATAATAATTGTGTATTCCTAGTTTGCATTGAGTGAATGTATTTATTAGCGTGCATATGTGATGTGGGAGGGTCGATGGCGGAATAGTACCTCATCGACCCTCAGTTAGGTTAGTTGTATAATATGTGTAAATGGTGATAGAGAATATCAAGTACTCCATCATTCTAATTGAAAGAGAGGGGAGTGAGAGGGTGAAGAGGGAGGGAGGGGGTGAGAGAGAGAGGGTGAAGATGGAGGGAGGGGGAGAGTGAGAGAGAGTTGTTGACATTGGGTTTTAAATAAATTTTACCATGAAAATTATAAAAATAATTTTATTATTGGCTTATTAAGAAGGATAATCATCTTTGTACGCACATTTCATACAAAAATATTTTTAGTCATGTAAAACCTTGTAGTGTTGCGGCAATTATTATTATTTTGTTTATTTATTGAAAAGTTAGTATTGTATTAAAAAATTTTCAATCACAGATGTTTTCAAGCTAAAACATATGTACATCCACAAACAGATAAATTATCTAATTATTTATCCATCGTACATTAGATACAAACTGACATACGATAACAGTAAAGGTCAAAGTCATTTTTTGTTCTAAGAATGAGTTTTTTTTAAACAGATTAAATTATAATCTGCTCCAATAAATACAAATCAAATAAAGGAATGCAAATAATATTTTTTATGCAATAAAACTTTTTTTTGTTTATAGTTCACCGATAAGTTTTATAGTTCAAAAGTAAATCTTTTGTGGGAAATTCACTCTCAAATATCTATTTCTTTCATCTAATGGGTTTAGATAATATCATTACTTAAATGCATTATGAACAAGTATTGTGCATTTATGTAGGTCTGCAACACATTAAAAATAGATGATTGTTATTGCTCTGAAAAACAACTAACAATAAGTAACAGTCCACATATAATATAAAAAATATAAAATCACTATTAAATGAAGTGCCCAAAGGCACAATTCGTTTCATGTTAATAATAAAGACTAGCATTTGAATGTTGTTCAGAAAACAACGTTTGATTACAATGCCAAGGAATTGTGAAATTTTACAGTATAAATTGTCTGTATAAAATATATAATTCAAATAATACGTCACACTTATTTAAAACAGAATTTTATTTCACTGTATAAAATTCAAGAAAAAGTTTTTTTTTAAACTATATAGTTGATTTAAGACTTTAAAAAACTAATATTTTAAACTAGTTGTTACAAAAGTTATGAACTATTTTAATGAGCCCTTGCTTAATTTATTAATAGACAATTTGTACAAATTTACAATGATATATAATGAAAAGATTATCATTACAATTTAAAATAATCTATATATATATATTACTTTTTCTTTGTTCCTAAATAATTATATATTGAGAAATATTTTACTTGATCTATTTTTTAACTTCACATAAAAATAATCATAATTTCAAAAATTTTACAGGTCTTATCTAAAAAAATTACAGATTTTTGCAGGCCCAAAAGGTGTAAACTTTTTATGCAAACAAATTAATATGATTGGTAATGACAAATTTCTGTTCTAAATTATAAACAATGTAATTACAATACATTGTAATCAAATATTTGTGTGATGATAGTAACAGAATAATTTGATAAAACGTCTCAAATTGTATCAATAATATATATAGACACACATATATTTAAAAAAAATCATTATGCTGTCAAAAAATGTTTTACTTTCACAAATTTCGATAATAATATTTAAGGATGATTATTGTTTAATACAGCTTTTTGTTGTTATAACAATGATGCGAGTGAACAAATCTGTTAAGAGTACTCATTTTTCTGCAAATGTTGGATCCAGAATTAATGTAGAAATTGCAAATATCAAAAATACAATCCCTCCAATCAGCATTACTAAAAACAAAAAAAAAATTATTTATATTATAGACAAAGGTTTCCTCTTCCAAGTCAATGCAGTGTGGATATTACCCTATAAAATATTTAATTACCTGAGGCATTTATTAAAAAAACAATAAATAAAATAAATAAATTACAAAATATAAATATAGTGAGTTTTTAAAAATATCTACCTAAGTTAATTTTTACTTAATTTAAAAAAAAATATTGCATGTTTGTCACAAATATGAACATTTTGTTACAGAGCAATTTAAGTTTTTGATAAACAGACTCTTTTGAGCTGCTATAAAGGGAAACATTTTCTCGCCCATCCTTATTTCATGAATATACATCTCCAAGAAAGAAATACTTAACTTAAGGACTTAAGGATTACCTTTAGTTATGATCTATCTTTACAGTTACTTATTGATTGTATTTGCATTAAGGCTCATAAATTGCTTTTTTTTCAGAACAGAGATTTTCCAAACTAAACTGAAACTACTTTTTTGTACACTACCCTTGTCGGAATCTTTAGTTTGGGTATCAAATTACGATTACTACAGCAAAAATAAAGTACAAAGGAAAATGATAAATATTATAGGCTCAAGGATTGGCTTGTGCTACGTAGATATAATGTATGATGACTAATGTGACATACTGAACCTTCCTTCTGTACATTCTCAACGTTTCATACTAGATCTTATTTTCTTTTTCCAACTCCTAAACATCTCTTGGAAAATTGATGTACCTCTTCCTTCATTACCCATCTCTTCCATATACTTTATGTCAAAGGAAACTACCTATTCAATAAGGACAGCACACTCTTCATCTATTTTACTTGATTTTCATAGCACCACCTTACTTACCTACTTACAAACAAAAGATCGTTCGGTTAATATGTACTGATAAATTATAAAATAATAATATTTCAATAAGTGTCAAATTTCATCTACAGACATATTTCTCATTAATTTCACTGTGAAATACAGTTTTTCTAATTTTCTATTATATTTTTATAGATTTTTAATAAGATTCTATCAGTTTATACAAATGTATATAGTTTTCTAAGGATTTCTGTATACATATTTATATTTTTTATGTTTACATTTATATATAAGCGCAATATTTTGTGTTTTATACCAAACATATAAAGGATTAACTGCTAGTATATAAATAAATAAAGTTTAGAATGATTTTAAATTATATGTGACAGAAATAATTTACCTGTTTTTGTAGATATTTTTTGTGCCAACATACGTCCACCTACAACTGCGACACCAGTGCAAATGGAATGGCCTAAAATTGCCCCTAATGTTACAGCATACATATTCTACAAAAAAAAGTAACATTTCGTATAAGCATAGATTTATAGAAATTTTACAAATAAAAATGTTCTCTGATCAATCAGGTTTTAATGAATTTTAAATTTCCTTTTTTCTTTCCTGGTTTCTAATTTATGTGTTGACCATGAGGATAGTTAAATCATTATATTCAATAGTATATTCAATGTAATTATGCATTTAAGGATACATTCATTAGCATTTTCAAAACAAAGATGATCTATTTAAGATGCAATAAATAAATACAAATGGTACAGATTATGGCACAATTGCTAAAACATAGCCTTCATAAAGTTGTGAGAATGTTTATGCGCCTTCTAATTAAGCAGACAAAAAAAAAGAAAGTTAAAATTTATTTGTAACCTAAACACATCAAATACATTTTACAAATAAGTGTGTTATTGGTTTCATGTTATATTTCTGCTAGCCACAATACTGACACTAAGGCAACCCCCGGAGTACGTATGTTAAGAGAGAGAGAGCATTGGCTGGTAGTTTATCTTAGGGAGATCTCGAGGTCATTGGCAGTCGGGTGGATCAAAAGTTTGATGTGGAACTTTTGGAAGCAGGATTGGGTCATTTCATTTGGCAATTTGTCTGAACATTTTTGATTGGAAAGAGTGGTTAGTTGCAGTAATATCTTATATAGGATTAATTGAGTTTTGATAGTCAAAATAAATTTCAATCGTAAAAATTGTCCATAGTTGTCAAAGTCTTGTAAATCTCGTGTGTCAGTCTGCTGTCTGGGTACAGGGCATAGTCTTAAGTATCTGACTTGAATAGCAATCGGTAGTTTTTATTTATTTATGTTCAGTCTTATACAATCTTATTCACCATTCAGTGCACCATTTTTTGAAGTACCTTTAACTCAACTTTTTTTAAGCAAAAAGGAAATGTAAATGGCAAGGAATAACGTATGTCACAGTAAACTGACAAACAACTGAATAAACTGTTTTAATTGTAAGTTGTTGTTTCATTTCTAGTTTAGGGTTAGTTTTCATTGCATAACATATCGCACATCCACAAGAAAAGTGACACGATTTAACAAAAGAAAATTTTGCAGGAAAGACCATTGGAAGTAACTTTTTGTAGCTTATATATTAAGTTAATGCCATTATGGTTATTGGCATTAAAAACTGTCATGATCCATCAATATTGTCTTTCGTTTCTCCAAGAGGTAAAACACAAAACAAATACATATAATATGCAAATAAAATCTAAATCATGAATGTATCAATGCTCCAAGTTTCGATTATTTATCCCTTGACACGCAGGAATATTATATTAAAAAGATGTGTCGGTTATTATAAACAACAGTACGTTATAAATTACTACAATTAATTAAGGTTTTCATCTGAGATAAAAAAGTCAATGGCACGAGCGGGATTCGAACCCACGATCTTTGGCTTGATACGCCGTTGCTCTACCACTTGAGCTATCGTGACCTCGATCCACTCAGACATCAACCTCCCATCTCAGCCACACCTTTTGAATTTTCCCTCCTTTTTGCCATTTTTCAATTAATTGGTCAAGCGGACCACAAAACTAGTGAATTGAATAAGTTATAAATTACAGTGACACAACTAAAGATGTGACTCCAGACGAGCATAAAATCCTTCACTAAATAAGAGAAAACTGACATAACTCGAAATAGGCCACTTTTCGTGATAAATACTTGCACCGATGCGTTAAAGCTCGACAGAACAAAGATATGCCACTTTTTGTGAATGGTGACAGTACGTTCCCACCAATTCAAAAGTGACACATACTGCTGCCTGGGAGAGAGTCCACCTACAGTTGTGTCATTTTTCCTGCAGCATCACACACTCGAATACTTGAGAAAAAAAAATTAAATAATCCAGTTTTTATAATTTTTCGTCTTAAGTCATTTTACTTGTGGTGAGCAATATTGCTGAATGCATGCAATGCAGTTAAGATTGTCATAATTTTTTAAAAGTTATTAGTAAATAAATATTAAATAAGTACATGTTTAATAATTGAAACAAAATAGATGTACACTTTAATTTTAATTAATTGTAGTCTTCTCTTGATGGTTAAGATAACCAAAGAGCCTGTCTTTTATTTTAAAACTGTATTTGTGTGTATTGTAAATTATAAATTAAATAAAGACTAATAATAATAATAATAAATGTTTTAATATGTTATAATTTTAGTATATCCTGATCAAATCCTGATTTCTTAATTTTTTTAAATTGAATTAAGACTTTGTGGCAGTACTTTTTTTCATACCTGTGAATGATCTTTGCTTGCTGTTCCAAGCAAAAAAATATTATAGGATGTTGGAAGCTATTCTATGCTACATATAAATTTAACACTTAATAGAAAATTAAAATGTTTTTTACAATAATATACCACTGAAAATACTAATTTCGGTCTTAGATTTCTCAAAGAAAGGATAAATCATACATCACAAAAATATGAGAAAGGCTCAGAAAAGCACAATGGTCAATAAATAAAGTAGAACATGACAAACTTACGTTAACATTGTCAGTGTTTATTTTGCACATATTTGAACTGAGTGTAAATTTCACGTATGAATGCCAAACATTATTTTTTCTGTTTCAAAATTAGTTGTAAACACTTCAAAATAAACTGAATTGTAATAAAGCATAATTAGTTATTGCGACTGTACCTCTCTAGATGCCAAAATAACTGTAGACAACTGTGAACGATCGCCCCACTCTGCAAGAAAAGTAAGAGTAAAGGCTTGTAATATGACTTGAGGTACAAGGAACATAGTTTTATGTTTAGGCTTTTTTTCAACCGGCTCCATTGTCTCTTCGTCAACAGTGTTGATATCGGTCGACACCTGTAAATCATTATACACTTAAAACTAAAAGTAATTAAATTAATTGAAAATTTAAAGAAAAATATATTTCATTGCTTGCGTATGAATAAGAAGTTTAGTCTATGTATTTTTGAAGTGACACAAACCATTAATTGTTAATTGTATGATACCGAATGCCTCTGATCTAGATCTGACACCTTTAATTTTCAAGTTTTGCATATGGTGAAAAAATAAGAATAGAAAGACTCGACCAACATTCAGAAAGTTAATAATTATAAATGCCTGTAGATATAAATAAGACCACTTCAGGTTGTCATTAAAATGTGTACTTTCGTCGCGGCTCAGTGGACAAAATGAAGGCTTTGAATAATATATACTTGCATTTCTGAAATCATAAAAATTGGTATACAAAAATTTAAAAGTTTCAGTTTTCAACTATTTTAAAAACAAGTAATTGCACATGTGTTTTAGTTTTTTTAGCATTGCAGTAATGGAAAACATTAAATTACATTATCTAAAAAATATTTACTAAAACACCATTAATGAAATGTTTACATACAAGAATATTGAATAAATTCATTTTTACACCAGGTATATACTTTTTATTTTATACTGTAATGCCAAGGCAAATTTAGTAAAATCTATCTACAATTAATTAGTATTTATGTTATCATCTTTATACAGCTATTACCATCACCATTCCACGACCATTTGTTATCATGTTTGCCCATTAATTTACATAACACAATCAATTATGAATTTTGATACTGTAAATTTTATATTTTATTGAATGGGAATATACAACTAGTTTGTTTATTAAACAGAAACTTGTTTATTTCAATAGCCTTGAGGGTGAAAAATATTTAAACATCGAAAACAAGTTGATTGAGGACAAACTTCGATGAATTAGAAAAAAAATCATTTAATGAATTTTTAGTGACCTTGCAAAAACATCATATCAAAATTATAGTAATATAAAGCATTTGTTTCATGCAAATACTGTGACCTTTTTAGTACAGACAGATAATTAATGTTAATTATTAAACAGATTTCGACTGTTTGAGATAAATCTAAAGAAGGTAGAAGCAAACCAAGCAATGTAGTTAAGCAATGAGACCCATCATAATATGTTGTTAAAATAAATTTAAAACAATTAATTAAGGTTTTTAGTTGAGATAAAAAAGTCAATGGCATTGAAAAATGGCAAAAAGGAGGGAAAATTCAAAAGGTGGGGTTGAGGTGGGTGTCCGAGTGGATCGAGGTCACGATAGCTCAAGTGGTAGAGCAGCCGAAGGTCTTGGGTTCGAATCCCGCTCGTGCCATTGACTTTTTTATCTCAACTAAAAACGTTAATTAATTGTAATATATTCATTGGTCAAGCGGACCACGAAATTAGTGAATTTAATAAATTTAAAAATTAAATGGATAAATTTGTTTGATATTTATCACTAATGATCATTATAATGTTGAAAAGTTAAAAACTTTCAAATGGAAATTCCTTTTTAAAGTATTGGTAAACAACAGACAGGAAAATAAATCTTAAGATTTATTAAAATTATTTTTTAATATTAAAGGTTTCATAAGAACAATACAAAAATTAGTAGGCTGTTGATTTTCCCAAAATAGTAAACAGAAAATTTCATATTAGCAATGATTTAACTGCATTAATGTAATGAAATATATAAAATAAAACCAAGTATGTTTATTAGTCGCAGTAACACCCAAGATCCATATACCACATACATCAAAATTAATATTTATTTTTAGTACAAGCTATTTTAGTGCTCACTCTAATGAAATTCGGAGATAAATATGTAATATTTAATTAAATGACTGTCAGCGACTGGGTATTTGTAAGCGATTGGATAATGGATTACGGTATCCTAATATTGAAGGTTAGCTTACTACAGCAAGGAATAAGAACATAATAGGTAACATACCTCTACAATTACTACTGAGGGTCCTTTTGTAAACAATAAATTTTCATGGAATAGATTTTCAAGCTGTTTGTTTTTTGTTTTTGTTATTTTTCATCTATACATTACAACTAGCTGGGTATACCATGATTCCAAATAATATTTCTGTATTTATTTTTTAGATAGTTTCCTGCCTAAAATGTATTAAGATGGATTTTAATTATTTGAAATGAAATGGAAGAAAAAGAGAAGGCAAAGAAAGTTTACTATTCGAGGGTTTTTGATAATCCAGCGATAGTTTCTCCGACCTCAGGTAATATGCACAACATACACAATAGATCTCAATATGTCTGAAGCATTTGTTAAATAATGAAAGCAGGATCCCCCCCCAAAAATTACAATCATGGATGTCACATGCTAATTGCAGAAATATATTGTACAAAATAATAATTTGTAAAAACCTTAATATTCTCTTCATCTGGCACCGAACTATCTGATTTTTTCAATCCTTTCCCTAACATAAGGACAGATGACAGTTCCACCTCTCTTTTTTTGTCTGTTCCCTCCAGCTAAGACAGGTATGAACCAAGTTGTAAAATTTCATAATTGGTAACAATACTTATTTGAATTTGATGTGAGCATGTTGATTTGATTCTATCTTACCTGTACAAAAAAATCAAATAAACATTATACTGTAAATTACTATTTTATTATACTTAACATACAAATAATGAAGAAAACTATTATAATTTTTAATGCACATTTCAGTTCATTCTCATGATGGTTATTGTTACCATCACACTGATTTCATGTATATATTACATGGAAAAAAAATCCATACATTTTATTTTTTAAGCTAGCCATTTTTTCTTGTTTAGTTATTTCATTTTCATGCATTACAAACATCATTTACATCTTTCTACTTCTTAAAAATTTCCATGATATTAAAAAACACCTGTAATAATCTTTTATTTAAAAAAATCTAGTTGCAATTACCATTACAAATATATAGTTAAACTCTACCAATAATTACTCTTCATTTAGCAAATTGTAACATCTATTTACATTATTGTACTATTATTTTGTTGTATTACAATTGACAAACATAAACAAGACTTTTTTTACCTTTTCTTGTTTTTTCTGCAACCTTGTTTGTATTGCTTCTAAATCTTCTTTTGCTCTATTCGATGACATTTTCCATCCATCTCTTATCATTTTTAGACCAAAAATTGCAAACAAAGCAGCAGATATGTAGTGAGTGTACACACGGGGGACTATTGCTGCTACCCATCCGAATGCAACTGTTAATTTTTTTAAATTTAAATAACTGTCATACAAATTTTGTTTAAGCTACATTAACAAAGAACGTTATTCGTATTAGTTTCATTTTTCAAAAAAATCAAGATTGAAAAATCAAGTGATATATGTTTTAATTAGGAAAATTTAATGTCTTTTAAAGTTAAATGTGGATTATCGAACAACATTGAAATAATTTGTTTTGAAGTATAAAATTTGTTATATCTATTGTAGGAATGCATTTCCTTTTTATTCTCAGTATTTATCTGTACATTAATGTTAAATGTTCATTATTGTACCAGAATGCTCATAGCTTTTACCAAGCAGAAAAAAGCAATAAGCTTGTGGTAATTACTTTATTAAGTGATCTAGTTTAACTGAGAATAATTTCCAAACTTTCCCCATTTTTCTCTCATTGTTGTTCAATATTTCATCAGTATAGAGATGTAATTAGTGTACTCATACGACATATACATTTATTCTCTTTGTAGTGCTTTGGGAGATGGGTTACAAATTCCATATTGAGTCTCAAGTCTATAACTGTTCTCCCACAAGGAGTTGAAGAAGAAGCCAGTCAGAAAGACGCCATGGAAAGCACTACACAGAGAATAAGTTTATATGTTAAGTTCACTAATTACTACTCTAAACCAACTCCCCAAACTCAACCTACATATACAGGGTATACGGCTACTCATGTTACTAACTTTGTCAGCAGATTCTACACTCAAAATGAAACCAAAAAGTCCTAATTAACTACGGTCCGAATCTCATCAGTTTCGGAGTTATTCCAGTTTTTCTGATTTTTTAAAATTTCACGACCTTGCTTCAAAAATTTGAATGAATTTATCAAACATTTTTTAATTTGGGTTCGAAACCAAAATAGTGCAAGTGTTTACTTATTTACCAACACGACTACAACTTTGATTATAGGATTATTGTATTATTATTCCCTGGAATAAAAGAGTTTTAAGATCCAAAACGTTTTTTGTTTATTCATTCAAAATTTCCTTACGTTTCTTATTTTTTATTATTATTAATCTTTCCACCTTACTAATCCGTCAACCACAGTTTTTTCCTTTCCTTCATCAATTACTTCATCTTTAAAAAGCAATTAAAAAAGCAATTACTCCACTAAAAAGGATATTAAATGGAGTACGTCTTCTGAAATTTGCTGTTCTCTAGGTTTGGAAATATAGTTTGGAATCATCATCGTAAGTTTTTCAACTTGGAAAAAAAAAAATTTTTTTCAGTTCTGGCTACTAAAACGCTTATTTCACCAATGTTAACAACTTTAGTATTGATCATATTCTATTGGAAATTTAACGTAGTTTTTCTATGGATTTGTCCAAAAAAATTTAGTTTTGGAGTTATTATTGTTTATTTGAAGAAGGTCGTGAAATTTTAAAAAGCCAGAAAAAGAGGAATAACTCTGAAAGTGTTGAGATTCATACCATAGTTAATTAGGACTTTTTGGTTCCATTTTGAATGTATAATTTACTGGCAAAGTTTGTAACAGGAGTAGCTGACACCCTGCATATTGAAATTCCCTTTTTGTACCTTTTCGCTTAAAGAAATGAACAAAGTATAAAGCATAGCCAATTTCAAAAAGTAACTGTATTTAAGTGTTAAGTTTTGAGAGGATTTAGAGAGTGATTTAGACTTTACAATAAATTAAGGCTTTTTTGTGTAACATTTAAATATTATTGTTTCCAAAGGATATGATCTATATTTAATTTGTAGCTTGATTACCTCTGATCATAGGAAAACTAAGTCAATCAAAGACGATCAAGCTACAGGTTTATCATTTCACAGAATTCAATTAATGTTTCACACTACGTCTAATTAGATAGAAATGTTTATATGATAGTAGCAACTGGTAACCTTGACTTGTTTTCTTTCAAATATGCACACCGTTCTGACTTCTGCATTATTCGTGCATAATTAATAAGCTCTCACATTTTAATTTTGGCAAATTTGATAGTGTAAATTTATAAATACCTGACAGTATTGTCATCAAAGCCAATGCTGATATTGCTCCTATAAAGATAATCAGTCTTGCATATTTCATAGCCAGTACTGCAGCGATGAAAAAAGTTTTATCTCCAATTTCGGATAGAATTATCATGGAAAATGCAGTCGCAAAACCTTGAAGGAAAATCCATTGGCCCTCCAACTTCCTGACTTCCTCCACTGAATCCTTAAATTAATAAAACAAAAAGTTGAAATAATAAGCATATTTTTTAAGTTTATTTAGTAACTACAGATACTGCACAAAAAATATATAGATACATATAAGTTACGCCTGCACAAAACCATTAATTCAGCGGCAAATGATATTACCCCTGTACAAATTCAAAGAATGTATTGTAAGCATATGTAAGCAAAAGACCCTTCACTGTTCCCTATTCCATTACACTTGTGAAAGGCAGATTTAGGTTAATCGTATCCGTGAACAGGAAAGGTTCTTCTCAAATTGTAAGTGTGTTTAACTAATAAAGTTCTTTTTAAAAAGACTCTCGTTTAGTTATTATTTTATGTATTTTATAACAAATTTATTGTTTTTAATTTTAAGCGTTTTGGGTATTGTTATAACCTAATTGAACTTAAAATTATAATTTTAATATAATTGTATAATTATAACTTGTTGAAATGGCCAATTTTGCCGAATTAAAAATCATTTTGGATGCCATCCCTAACTTCGATGGCAATCCGAAAACACTGACACAATTTATATTAAAAGTGGAAGAAGCACAAAGCATTGTATCTTCTCTAACACCTCCTTTAACAAACATACAAAAATATATGTCCTTCATACACATTAAAAACAAATTAACAGATAGAGCGAACGAAGCCCTAAGGAACATACAATTTGCAAACTGGGATGAGTTGAAGCAGTTTCTAATCAAAGAGTTTTTTCTGAGTTCTAAATTTAATAAAAGAAAAGTTTGACTCGTTCAGAGCAAAAATACTTACGGAAAAGGGATCAGATGAACAAAAAGCATACTTGATAGAATTTCAAGAAAAAAATTATAGCTACAAATTTCGTCTGTTCATTAAAAGACCCCTTGCGTAATAATTTAGCAACCAGAAACCCACAGACATTAACGGACATAGAAAAATTAGTATTAAACGACTTTCAGTACTTGCGCGAAACAACAAAGAAACGTCGCAAAAATTTCGTCCACCATTTAATAAAGGGACACTTCATAACTTTCCAAAGAATTTCAAACCTAACTTCCCCCAAAACAAATTTTTTTAAACCACCAAATCAATACAAACAAAATCAAAACTCTGCTAAACAGAACACTTATACACCAACACCAATGAGTATTTCTACTAGAAATAGTAATCAAACGAACAATCATCCACAACCGAATGTGTTTCAGATGGAAACACAGGAACAGGAGCCACATAGTCAAATAGAATCCACTCAGAATCATTTTTTACGGCTTACTCAATTAGGAACAAATTTCAAATAATGAACTTACAATCTTCGGACAACGAACTACCATATTTTATAGATCCAGAGACGAAAGCTAGAATATTAATTGACACGGGAAGCACGCGTTCGTTTATAAGAAAATTTATCGGTTTTGAATTCTGTAAAAATAATATAAAAAAGTGTGTGGTGATTAGTGACCGTTAATCGATATTTATTTAGAAATCGTAAGATGCGGTCTGGTGTGATGTAGGTTTCAGAAAAACATTTTCTTTATCGTGCCAACGTTGCGATCTTTATTGAGCCATGAAGATGATCTCAAGAAAGATCGAAACGTGGCACGATAAAGAAAATGTTTTTCTGAAATCTACATCACACCAGACAGCATCTCACGATTTCTAAATAAATATAAAAAAGGATCCTTTCGAAGTGACTACTTCACATGGAACTTCAAAGGAATGTTATAGTACCGAACTATCCATCTTAAATAACAAAAATAAAATAAATTTTTTGTTTGTTTGATTTTCATAAGTTTGATTTACTTCTGGGATTAGACAACATTAAGAAATTAAACATACAGTTAGATTTTAATTCTAACAAACTTTATTTTAAAGGAAAATACATTCCTATTTTGTATTTTGATACGCGTTCTAGTCAAGAGAAGCCTCCAACAGGGAGTACACCGGTTGGATCTCAGGTGACTAGTTACGTTCTGGAGCCCAGAAGCGAAAAAACTGTAAAAATAAAAGTAAAAAACATTAAAGATGGAGAAGGTGTATTAAATTATCATAACGTAGCTGGAATAGAAATCCCGCAATGCTTAGTAAAAATTAAAAATAATGAAGCATTTTGTAAAATGTACAACCCAAAGGATACTAGAATTAAATTAACAATAACACAACCATTCGTGGTAAATAATCTAGAAGATTACGAAATTAAATCGCGGCATACTGGTTCAAAAATTTATAATAATTTTAACATGCACGGAACAACAAAGAAACAAAAATTAGGTTTAGATCATGTAAACACGAACAATTTTAAACAACACTGGGGAAAAATCGGCTCTATAGAAAGATTTCATTCCACCATCATCGAGCATATTCGACTTTTTAATAATCAACAAGAATTCATGCACGAAGATATAGAAAACAATGTAAATTATAGTATTTTGGCATATAATCATTCGCTTCACTCAGCAACAAAATTAAAACCTATTGAAATTATCAGTGGACATTTACAGAACGAATCTATTTTTAAAATCAATTTAGAACAACAAATTTTAAGTAACTATGTCAGTAATCATAAAAAGAAAATAGATTTGTTATATAAAACGATCAATGAAACTTCTTTAGCGCATAAAGAACATATCAAAAAACGAAACGAAAACAGAATAAAAATACCAGACGTAAATATACCGAACGAAGTTTTTGTGAAAGTCAAGTAAAAACAAAGCAAAACAAAGAATAAATACAAAAAGGAGAAAATAAAATCCATAAATAAGAATCTAAAAACTGCCGAAATCATCCCAAGTCATCACAACACAATAGACAAAATACACATATCGAACATTACAAGACCAAGAAAATTAACAAATTCTCGCGACATTCCAGGTTCTTCCCACTCCTCTTCTGGACCACAACCGGAGGATTCAACATACTTTTATTCATTATTATAGACTAAGGGAATTGTTTAATCAATTAGATTATTTAGAAGAATTTTATAACCATGTATCGAAGATTGTCTACTCTAATAATATTTTGATAAATAGTAAAAATGTAGATTATGTAAGTGATAATAGTAGTAAATCAAGACATATTGTAAATACTTTAAAATTAATTAATCAAACAAAAAATGTAATTGCAGAAAAGTTAGAAATAGTTTTTGTAGAAAATAAGAAAAATGCTTATTTAATGGTGTAGGATCTATTTTAAAGATGTTAACTGGTAATCTTGATGCTTTCAACGGTGAAAAGTTAGAACATTTAAGAAAACACCAAGAAAACATTAAGAATCAGATAGAATCGCACTACTCATTTAATGTAAAAATCATAGAGGAATTTAACAAAACATTGTCAATAATAAATAAAAACTCTATCGAATTAAAAACTAAAATTTTAGCATTAAACGATAAGTTAAGTGATTTTGTCGAACTAGAAAAACTAAGAGATTTTACTATTGAATTACAACTTATGTATCAAATGTTGCTGAATGTTGTACAAGATTTAGAAAACTCCATAATATTTTGTAAGCTACAAAAACTTCACCCCAGCATTATATCTTCTCAAGAATTATTAACTGAAATTCAGGAAATCGCAAAATATTATAATAATAGACTACATTTGAACCAAAATTAGAAAATATATTAGAATTTGAAGATTTCATAAACGTTAATTGCGAAGTTCATCATGAGCAAATAATATTTTTATTACGCCTACCTTTGGTCACTAATAATGACTATAATCTTTACAAATTACTATCAGTACCTAGGCAATACGAATCTAAATTCATTATTATTATACCTAATGTGTAGAGATTAGTGACCGTTAATCGATAGTTATTCAGATATCGTGAGATGCGGTCGGGTGTGATGTAGGTTTCAGAAAAACATTTTCTTTATCGTGCCAACGTTTCGATCTTTTATTGAGATCATCTTCAGGGCCTGGGATTTAGAAACAATGTTTACATTTAACAAATACATTTAGGATTTGGAAAAGTGAATTTATACAATGCAAAATATATTTTATATTCAAACAAAGTACACAGAAGACAAACACTTTGAGTGAGTAGAAATACTTTGTATGAATATAAAATATATACATTTTGCATTGTATAAATTCACTTTTCCAAATCCAAAATGTATTCGTTAAATGTAAACATTGTTTGTAAATCCCAGGCTCTGAAGATGATCTCAATAAAAGATCGAAACGTTGGCACGATAAAGAAAATGTTTTTCTGAAACATACATCACACCCGACCGCATATCACGATATCTGAATAATTATACCTAATGTTAACTATTTTCTTCAAACAAAATGCATATTCATAATTTAGATATCATAAATTTAAATAAATAATTGTTAACAAACTAAATATCTATATATCCTCTATCATAATTGAAATATATATTCTCATACGAACAAATCAGCCATAAGGACAACCTGTGCCACAAGGCCATACTTCTTTCTGGTGATCCATCGAACTGTGCATACACAGAACTCGTCGTAACCGACAATCACCTCACTTGAGCTCAACCAGTATTTGGCTGTATTTTCTCATAAAGAATCTATTAGCATAAGCCGCCAGGATGGGACTACAGTAAAACTAGTAAAAGGCGTATTTTTACTGAACATCAACGGCAGTAAAGTGGTCTACAGGAACAGAGAATTGTACCACTCTTCCAAAACCTCTGGGCATTCAAAACTTATTAGTAACATTAAGCTCGTTTTAAGCAAGAATCAACAGCCAAAATTTTCAATTAACATTAAAAAATTGGGATTCGAGGAGCTGAAACTCAACCGTGTTTCGCCCATCATCAAGACATCCTACATTTCAACGTCTATGAGCATATGGGCCATGCCATTCTACTAGTTTATCGGCCATAGCCTCATCTTATGGAGTCTACGCATGGTATCGCCAGCGGAGACAACCCTTAGCCATTGCAACCCCTATCAATCAGCCACCCCCGGGGAGCTTTGTCTGGGCATTACTGCCGAGTAGAGGAGTTACTCTGCACAAAACCACTAATTCAATGACAAATGA